TTGGTTAGTGAGTCCACCTATGGAAGCAACGTGGCAGAAGCCATAAAATCCATCAAAATGATGAGTGTCTTAATTTTGATAAAATGATATGTGAATTAATACTGTTTTTCCATGGTAATATTCTTGCTTCAACACTACTTTATACCCCAAAGATAAAGTGCAGAGCAACCCAATCAATATATTCCTTTTAAGTACCCTTCTACAGCAAAAGGACCTCTTGATTCTTCTGTGACCTCTCGGTTCCTTCTGATCAGAAAGCAGGTGACTACGTTCCTTCATGAGGGCAGTGAAAGGCAATGGGATTGAAGCTCTAGAAGAAGGGTTTGTCGTAAATTGGAGCACTCTTCTTCCAAAGGCAGGGATACATAACAGAAGAGACAAGTTAAAGTTGGAGGCACGTCACTTCTGCATTTTCTGATAGAATACATTGAATTACAACTTCCTATAAATTCCTTTCATCATCTTTTTCTTGAAACACATACTGTATTTTCATACTTAGACTGAATTCAAGCTTTGTATCAGTTCAAGAAGATCTGCAAAATAAGGCACAACAGCAGTTAGTACGTAGTGCTGAATTCCACAGCAGTTAAATGAAACACACTCCTAAGATACCATAGGGGTTCCCCAAAAGAATTTCCTTCAACATCTGCCGAGAAATCATATATTGCTGAAGCTACCCACTATACATACCTTTTTGCTAAGTCTGACACAGCCAATCGTGTACGCTAGACCTTCAGAAGCCCCTGACAAGTGTCCACATGCACAAGTGCTTACAGTTTACAGCAACTGTTGTAATGCTTACTCCACTCCCCACTCCCCCAGCTGCATGTCAGGGCAAGCCATTGATTTTAGTGCCTCCTTTCTCAATATGCAACTCTTCTTTCAAATGCTAGTCTTTCTTACGTGCCTTTTGAATGGATACCAAAGACAACAGGCTCCTTGCAGAAGACATTCCTGATTCAAAGTGCTGTTTCTTACATTTAACTTGTTCCACCCCAGGGACCAAACCCTCTCCTGTCAGTTTAAACGCAGGCTTATTTGAGCCAAAGAGAGAAATACAATTAGACTTCTAAAGTTAGATGACAGAAAGCAAAAGCCACCATTGCTGCTATATAGGATATATCAAAGAGTTTACATGCATCGTAGAGTAGGATGTATCTCGATCTCTCTGAGCTCCTCAGTAGACCAGGAAACAAATACTCCAGTCATGTAAGGTTCAACAGCAGTATTGCTAGAATTTGTTTTTTCATCAGTACACCACTGAATGTCAGTTTAAATTGCTTTTGCTACTTGTGATGTTTTGTTCACTTCCTAGGTCACTCATAATCAAGACAGAGTAATTTCAACTGCTTCCAGATTAGATGCATTCTTAATATCTGTAAGAGTGAAAGTGTCAAGAACGTATTCTACCAGAGATGGAAGAGAATTCATGTAGCTTTCTGTGCTACAGTATGCTGTCAAAGTGTGACAAACAGCACTAACAGTCTTAAAACTTTGGATATAAGCTACGAGATCACAAACTTAATATTTCATAGAGTCACAATTCTGAATTTTTGAGTGTTATAATGAAACAAGGACTGTTTCTGACAATAACTTAAATGCAAGACATTGAATACCTATATGTCAGTAAGTTGGAAAAAAGTACTGTAAAATCACTTTGGCGTACACTGTTAGTGTACAATCTAGCTTTACAGCAGGAACTGAACCTTTAAAGCCCATTTCGCCAATTTAAAGAAATATTACTGAAAGGAAATTACACAGTATTAAACCCTCCCCCCAAACACATAATTGAATTTTGAAAAGACATTAATTCAAAGACTCCTGCGAAGAAAAGGTTTATATTTTGCTTAGGTAGTCATTATCAGGACAACGCTGTATAGTCTCACTTGGTTATTAGTATATAGACATTTTTAACACTGTTCCTATATAACGACTAAAAAGTTGTTTTCAAAGACTATTAAGAGAACATAACATTTACAATTTTTTTGTTATTAGAGAATGAAGTCCTTGGTTTTCATGTGTTTTCTTCTAGAGAGCTGTATTATAAATGATTAGTACATCAATATGCATGACGAAACATGCTGGAATTCTGCTTATGAAATTAAGTTGTACGTATCAAAAAATGGAACTTCAGGGAGTATAACTGAATACTCAACTGCACATGGACTGCTTTGTAAAGTATTTAAGCAACTTAAGCATGTAAATGTTTAAAATACACAAGCTATTTTTTAATCTTTCACACAGAGTAAGAATTGCATTGTTATTACTCACTTGGGTGTAACGTGCTGTTGTAATGCATTACCATTTCACGAAACTACATTCTTCTACAAACTAAGAATAGAATGAGTCAGGAGACAGTACTTTTATTTTATTTTCTTTTACGAAAAAGGGATTAAGACTAGGTCATCCATGAAGTTGCATTTAGAGACAAACTCTCTGCATAGCTGAACCCAGAAGAGTATCTCAACTTTGCCCTAAATGTAGAGCGGAAACACAGCACACCCCATCCATAAGGGACAGAGACATCTCACACAAGAACCAATGCTGCAGATTTATTTTCTTTAGTTTTAAGTTTTATAACCTCAAATTTGTTTATCCCACATAAGACATTTTCAGTAATAAGAGATCCTCTCGTTCATGTACTATACAATTGCAAGTAAAATGAGGGGCATGTGAAGTACAAAAAAATTGAAAATACTAGCTTAACATTGGGTGGACTTAAAATACTGCTCAAAAAAAGTGGCTTTTCAGCTTTTTACCTTTGCAGTTTGGAAATCTTCTCTGCAGTCCAAAGATAGGCAATGAACGGAGAAAAAAGCAACTCCAAAGCAGGTAAAATGAAGAAAGAAGCACATTAGCAGGAGAAACAAAGGAAACACATATCAAACAAGAAAGAGAGACACTCCTCCAATCACAGAGTCCAAAGAAACACATTTTGCAGGTGTTTCAGAAATGCATGCTGCCGTCCATCCATTCATGTACCCTAGCTGGGTACATGAATCACACTCCAATACTGTTTAGTAGTCTACATTTATACTTGCGATATGGAAAGCACATCTCTTGTACAGTACATAATTCCTTGCCCCAAAGAGCTTACAATCTAGGTTCATAAAAAAGAATGCATCAAGTAGCTGGATCAAGATCAAACAAATGGAGAAGACAGGGAAATAATTTTATAAGGGATTAAAGTTGGGTTACATTACTAAGTGAGGTAACTTCTGAACATCATTGGCAGTGATGCTCTTAAGACATAAGTAACTCTTCAGTTAGAAGCTCTTCTGATCATGAAAAACTGGTTTAAAACATACTGAATGATGCATTAAAAGTAATCCACAAAAATTCTTAAAAACAGACTTGTTGGCAAGACACAAAAATGTTCAGGTTACCCAAGTTCTTCACTTGAGACACTAACTTGTCATTCTACTAGAAAGATATGGATGTCACAGAAATTCATATGTACATGTCACACTTGAATGTAAAGGGCTCTTTATATTTAAGCTTAAAATGTTAAATTCTGATTTAAGAATCCTGCTGCTATAAACATAGGCTTAATACTTAAATATTAATATGAAAATAGTTCTATCTTAAAAATGTATTTTTAACTTTAAAATAAACTATGGACAAGTTACAGTTCATTTGAAATCAACATTCTTTGACTACAGTAAGTGACCCACTTTTCCCACTTTTTTAAACACTGGTCTTGCTACTTGGCAGTTGTAATAGACGTGACTACTCCATCACCTTTAAAGTTTTTTAGTTTTGGGTTTGGTTTTGTTTTGGGGTGTTTTGTTTTGTTTGTTTTTTTTTTTTTTGCATTTCCCTGGTTATATCTTACTTTTTAAAGTCAAAGTCTTGCACTTAATCTAGTAATTGGCAAGACATAGTTAAAATGCAATTTATATGTAACCTTTGTGCCCATTTAGCTATCATTTCTTAACCATTAACATGCAAATAGGAAGTATCTTCTTTTCATGCAACTATGACATTTATGTCTTTCATACCAGGGAATCTTGCTTTGGATTATGTACACAAGCCACCTGCAACACTTCCATGACATTTGAAAAAATGCTGGAATAGTTACAGTAGTAAAATTTAACCATAATTATCCAATCTGTATATGATAACAAAAAAGAGAAATACTTCTTTTTCACCTTAACAAACAGCATATCCAGTGGAAAAATCTGACTTGAGCTACCCTTTTGTAAGGGAAGCAGATATTAAGAGAATTTTATTTAAGCATAGAAGTGAGACAGTGAGGATAAGGACTGCTAACAAGCGATCCGTTTAGTTTTAATTCTGAAAGGTACTCTCACGGAAATCAAACCAGAAATGAACACTAAAGAACTATACATTTCTTTGACCCAAGTCAGTACTAGCATTTACTTTTTAGAAGTTACAACTATATTAAATTTGCTTATAGGAGGATACAAAAGGAGTATAGCCACAGATTACCAAGAGAATTTGATCACTTCTGACCAACAGCTAAAAAATGAGCAAAGAAAATGGTCAAGGGATTATGATCAACCGTTTCTTGTACATGCCACAAAATTACAAAAAATTCCCTGCAGACCTGTAATAAAACCCTCCCCACTCTTTGAATGAGTTTCAATTCCCAGGTAAAGATGAATCAACAAGATTAAAATATTGTGCTGTTTTATTGGTGTAAAAATCACACAATTGCTAGTTCTGATTCTGCAGAGATACATCCATGCAGTTAAACATCTATGATCCCACAGCCAGAAGAAGCCATTAAATAGAATATCTGCTGTTAGTCAGCAATTAATGCAAATTTACATATGAGATCATAAGGTGTGTATCATACAATATACAACAAATCCTAATACAGTACATCAACCTGAATAGCAGGATACACTCAGGGAACTCTGTTAATAGTGAAGCCTGTCTATATGCCAGAGAAATAAGGCCTGGAAACAAGATGACAGAAGGTACCCCAGAATTCCTAAGAAGCAAACTGTTCATTTTTTGTTTTTATTTTTTTGGCTGGGAATTAGAAGTTCATAGAGGTATTGACACATTACTTGACAATACAATTTGTTATAGTGAAGACTGGTGGATGTGAACTGTTATTAAAAGGTCATGTGTGAAACATGCAATTACAGGTGGTGCTTAGGTAATGTGGTATTAACATGTTGGGGATTTACACCCAACTCTTTTCACAAAAGGGAGGACTGAAAAAGGTCTGTTTGATAGACGACCAATTGTACCATAAATCTTTATATGCATGCGGCTGAATCGGGATCATGAAGGGATAAAATGTGAACACCTGGCAATCTGTGGTTACATACTCTATAATGTATGCAACAAAAACACAAAATCAAATCCAGTTGATGTGGCAAACAGCCTGCAAGAACTCTGTCAACCTGAATAAGTTGTTTATTGCAAAGAGGCAGGCTTTCTAGAATTGTGAACAACTTTCCAATTGTGAAAGGCAGCTTGGGAAGTAACATTGGCTGATGACAGATTACTAGTTTTTCTCTTTTCTGGCACAATAAAGTAAATGCCATAGCGAAAGAAAAGTTTATGTGCTTAAAGTTTAAAGTCAACTGATTAGCAATCCTCTTCTGCAAAGATGTTTCAATGGGAAAAAGAAACCACTAAAAAATTCCAGTTGGAAATTTTGGCGACAAACCCTGCAAACTCAAGTCCAACAAAGATCACGGATGCCCACAGAAAATGATGTGAGAGGCAGTGTCACAGTCAAGGAAAAAGGTTTTTTTTCTCTGTACTGAAATTAAAATACTTAAATACAAAAGTGGACAAATTGACAAAACAGAACCACAACATTTAATGTAGAATACAGTGCACTGAGCTAGATGCATGGATCTTTAAATAGGCTTTGAAACCAATACCCCTTTCAAAATTAGTAAATTCACAGTTAACGGCAGTAGGCTTAGAGGTGAGAGAAGGGTCGAAGTTGTTCCAGTTGGACTTCCAGGGAGATTCTCTCTTCAAGAACATCCTACAAAAGAAAGATTTTTCTACTGACTGTCCACAGAAAATGGATATTAAAAATTTTCTCATGTGATCAAAACTGGTAAATGTCAGCTTCAGATTTGAGAACTAATGTCTAGGTCTTTTCTAGAACTCTGGAGAACTCTTCCCATAATCTGAATAGAATATTGGCTTGCTAGTAATTATTCATAAATGAAAATCAATACTTTGCTCAAAGGTGAAGCCATTTAGTATTTCTTCATTCCTTTCAAATCACCCAGAACCACAAAGCTGTAACCACCTGCAAACCCAAATATAATATTTTCAAATGAAGTCTAAAATGTTAAGGGGGTAAAAGCTCTCATCTCAGTTAAAGGATTTGAAAATCACAATTTTTTTCCCAGTTTTTCCTCTTATGTGAATTTTACACACCTTGACTTTCAAAAACAGTAACAAGTGGAATTCAGGCTTGATAGTTGTTAAAATGGCTTGTCCTACAGTCTAGACAGTACCACATTCATTCATTCATTCATGTTTACATTTAAGATCTTTTTTTATTAACTTGATAATGAATATTAGATATCTTAAGGTAAGAAAGATGGCAAGAGAAAGATGTTAAGATGGTGCCTACAGATAAATCCAAAAGAATAATAGATGACCTAGGTAAACAGGTGACTATTGTTGTTCTTAAACGTCAAGTTTTGTATTCCACATTATTACATTTGTTTAAAAATATTTATAAATTTATTAAGCCTTTAAGGTTTGCTTTTTCCTTTAGAAAGGAGGCCAATTCAGCTGCTCTTCTCAGTACTGCTTTTAAAGTATCTGATGACCGTAACAGCTACTCCAAGTTATTAATACTAAGTTAAGATTTCTGCTTTTTTAGTGTAGCTGAAAGAAAATCAATACATTGAAAAATGTGTTTTGTAGTAGCAAAAGCATCCTTTGGAATTTCACAAAGCTTGTCACAATTAGGTATATTCTATGATCTATAAAAACAACTAAATATTTTATATCAATATCCTCTACTATATATATCATTGGTTTGCAGAGATGCCTGTTACTGTGCATCACTAATGTCTTGCCCTCTTAGACTATTCTCTTAAACAAAGATTATGGAATTACCTTTAGTTGCTGCTGTAGTTCACTATTCAATCTGGCCAAAACAGTGTTGGTTTCCTTGTTACGTCTGATTGATGCCTGAATTGCCTTCTTGTCTTTCCCCACTGATCTGAGAATACATTAGAAGTATTGTAATAAGTAATTTTGTTGCTTAGCTGAATATCTCCTGTATAGCTCCTCTTTTTAAAATGAGCAGAATCCCCTCTTCAGATTTTTTTATCTTGTTACACTTAATTTTCCTTCTGCCTGGCTCAATTAACCTTGATTTTTTTGCATGGAAGCCACATATACTTGGTTTCAATGACACAGCGAGAAGCACATTTTTAAAACTTGTCATAGTAAGTTTTCTGAAGTACCACATTCATTTACCTCAAAGTGACTAATGTAATAGTTTACTTTCATGCTAGGACAGAAAAACTATACATTTTGGACTGTTAATAGTGACTATTATTTAAAATCAAACACTACATTTTAATACTTCCACAATTTATTTCCAACATACTTGCAGAAGTTAAGAGTTCACAATCCAAAATTCAAGATCTCTAAAAAGGTCTCTCAGTAGCAGAGGCTACAGGATGATCTTGTTTAAAAAACAAAAACCTTTAAACTGTTAAATTAACCCAACTCAAACACACTGAAATTGTTTGCAACTCCTAGAACAGAAAGCGTGTATGCTGTTTACATGTAAACTTTCCAGTAACAGATGTATTTATACACTTCTTGGGTTACCTAGGAATAGATGGCTGTGAAGCAAGAACAGCAGCTATGACACCTGTTTTCTGTGTATGTTCCTCAGCTTCAGGTCTTAGCTCATCTTCTGATTTTAATCTTCTGCGAATAGGCTTTGGTGGTGGAGCAAGTGGGGTAGTGCCTTTACCCTGAAGAGGAAAATACAGCCTATTAATTCTCACAAACTGCATTTTACTTGGATTATAACCTGGTAATTTGTGTTACATACTCTTAAAACCAGTTACTGAGCTAACTGAATTTACAACCTATCAGATATTTTCTGATAGACATCTAGCTGCATTCTCACAGGGTCTGGAAAAAAACTTAAGTACTAAATCCTGCCCCCTGGTGAAAGGTCGGTAAGTCGCTACACACTGACAAGAACTGTGCAAGCAGAAACGTCATGGTACAACTGACAATTGCAAATACACAACATCTGAGAGCACGCTTTCCCCCCAGTAATTATGTGTCTGTAAAAAAAAAGCTACTGTTAACCAAGTTCTGCACTAAAAGTTTTGTTCTGTTTCAAAACCAAGTATCTTAATTCTCTATCTCAAGAATAAAGCTAATCATTAGCATCTTCTGATGCAAAGATTCACCATACACCTGTTTATTTCAAGTACATATGGGGCCTAGAAAACTGGGTTCAAGTGGAAGTGTATGAAGTTGCTGTTACAAATCAAAACAGTTGTATAATTTCATATGCATCAGACAACTGCACTCTCCTTCCAAGTGTACTTTGCCTACCGCACTAGTGGGGACATTAGCAGGTGCTTTGTCTTCAACTCTTCCATCTGCTTTGGCAACTCTAAGAGAACTTGCAGAATCAGAGGGCTTTTCAACCTAAAGGGATATAAACTATATTTAGCAGTTGGAATAAATAGAAGTATGCTGTGTTTCTGATACATGAACACAGTTAACACTTAGAATTCCAGTCCAAGTCTTCTTTAGAAGCACAGGCTGGAATACAACAACAATACCTGCTTTGGAGCAAAACCGCCTAAAACTATCTTGGTCACAAATGCTCTTTTGGCCTGGGAGCAGCTTACAGAAGAGACACATAGTACAAAGCTGTACTTCCAGAATCAATAGTCAGACCTGTCTTTTGATACAGACATTGAGATTTGATACAGAATCTAAAATCACTATAAAAAAAAAAAAGATTAAGTAGTTACTCAAAAGTACTCTGCTCTCAAGCATTGTACTCCAGATGTTGGAAGACCTCTGAATAGTCAAATCACCAATGTTATGAGGCACTGTATAGTACAAAAGAGGCTGTGGTCTGATGATAAACTGCTACAGCTGTTTCGGCTGTTATATTACCACCATTATCTATTTGTTACTGCCAAAGGTTAGTCCCTCCAGTGAAACATAAGGCAACTGTTCCCCACCCACCTCGATGCAAAACAACCAGCAAGCTTAACTGAAGCAGTTTTCAGCAGCAGTCTAAGCCAACATAGCTGATTTTGCAATGAGGTACATAGACAGTGCTCAAACCGTTCTTCGTCATTGACCTTCCTGATCAAGGGAAGCAAGAACATGCTGCTGGTAGTTGGGAGAACTTTGAAGCACCACAGGTACTTTTGCAACTGAGGATGCAAAAGTGCCCCAGAGAACTTACAATCTGGATGAAGGCTACAAATTATGAAAGGAAAACATGAAGTAATTCATGTAATAGCAGTAAGCTACTATGACATCAATAGTAATAAACCCTGAGGCTTCCAAACTTTAAGTCCTGTGTTTGTAGTAGGAAACAAGGTTTTGTAAACATCTCTAACGATCTACTATAGAAGGATGCCAAAGCTCTATTCACTTTAGCTGTTTGTCCAATGGCTTTGAACAAAACCAAATGACTGGAGTTTTAGCAGATGTTTACAATACTTGACAGTCATCTCATTTATTAAGACAGACTACTTGAAAACTTACCGGTAAGTCAGAGCAGAAGAAAAGTTTTGCCTGTCCTAAGTCGTAAATGCACCAACACAATCATGTTTGTGCACATATATGCTAAGTACAAAATCTTTTAAATTACAATCTGCCTAGGTGTTTGGCAATTACTAAATAAATGTAGCCATGTCTAATGCAATTGCTTTCTAGCAATGGATTAGGACACCATAAAAAAAACCCTACCAAGTTCGAACAGCAGAAGTAGGTTTTAAAGTCTCATAACTGTTGGTGGTATTAAGCAATTGACAAAATCTTCACATCTGCTCACCTGCAAGACTTCTGAGTGTGTTTCAATTTCATCTTCTTCCTCTTTGTTTACACCTGAAACAGCAAATGCCTCAAACTGGCTGAAGTCTGCAAAATTTGGCTGTTCTGGTATTTGCTGAGGTGAGGTACTGGTATGAGCTATTAGGCCTTCAGCATCTACTGGGCGATGCACATGAGGACCTGCACCCTGCAATAAAATAACAAAAATATTTAGTGACATTGCTCTTAACATAGTTACCTGATGCAAAGAATCTTGCCAAACAACTTTGTGACAGAACGTTAAGGATTATTTGCCTTTTTAGTGGACAAAGATTTATGTCCTGTCAGTAGGACAAGGTACCTCTCATCCAAGACAAAGAGATAGACCACTCTCTGTACTTATAGAGAAATATTTAAGAGAGAAGGAAGTTCAATCAGATGTGCTATTATTCAGAGAATGAGACCAAAGACGGATGCACGGTAGGGCTATCTAGACTCATTGGACAGTACGTTTCTGCTGTAACACAGTCCAGCTTGGCTCTGTCAGGTTTGATACAGATTTTTAATCTAGTTCCATAGGGAAACATGTTTATGTGATGATACTTTATGTAATATGTCTGCCATTGTACCCTCTTTCCTTGCAGATGATTTCTGGATCCATTGACTGACTTCAATTGCTGGTAACTCAGACTCTAACAAGTAGCTGCTGCTGAAAAACAACCGAAAAGCAATTTTATCTGTCTCATGTCAGATCTGCACAGCAGTTGAAGGATTCAGCTGGTTGAGACAAAGAAAAAACAATTTTCCAGGATTTGTTTTCTACCAAATCAGCTAACTGAACTGACTCAGACGAGGACTGCAAAGATCACCGAGTCTATGACAAAGGAAGAAGTGGGATCACTCCTGGGAGCAGGCATGTTATGTAAAACTATACCCTGTGCGAGACATGGATGGAAGACACACACTTATTTTGCAAAACTTTGAAAGATTACTCTCACACTCTGTGTTATGGCCTATTAGCTACACAGGGACAGGTAAAGAAACCTGAAAGTGTAACTTTTTGTAAGAGCTCCAGAGCCACTCATTCCTCTTCAATCTCTACTTTAATCCATATTAATCCAATATTTAATCCAATTCTACTTTAATCTGGTTCCACCAGAAGCAATTCTTTATTCAGGAAAGGCTAACATTTGGCTATAGCCTAGGTTTTGCCATCATACACATCCTGGTGGTTTCAAAAAATGCCAAGCAATACTACTCATTTCAAAGATAAGTTAAAATTCAGAGTTAGATAACAATGATGCACCAAGTTGAAGTATGATTTTTGAAAAATGACATCATCACCTGTGAAGGCTGTGGTCTTGGAGGCACTGCAGGGGGATAGGCAACAACTCCAGCCTGTTGCTGTCCTGTAAAAGAGGCATCACATTTGGCCAAGATTGCTACTCTCAAATTACAGCGCTATCTGTTTTTTTGACTTGTCAACATGTCAGCGCAATCCTGCATTTTGCCTACATATTAACCTGTCCTGTTGAGGATAACAACTGTAATGCCATCTCCTTCCGAATTTGCAAACAGACAAAACAAGGAATCAGAACGCGGATCCTGTCCTTTGTTCCAGTTCAAAGTACAGACATGGTCATACTTTTCTGATCTTAGTCCTGTTTTTCTTTTACCCTCATTATACAGTCTTAACACTTTCTCATACTTTGTGATCCTGAATTGAAAAGTACTGACAAGTCAGAAGTACAATAAAAACCCTTAAGCAAAGCATCAGAAATGACCTTTAATCATTTCCTCTGAAGTAAAATACTTAACACCCGTCTCTAGTACATCTGATCCAAAATAAATCCTCTTGAAAATTTACTGGCAGATGTAATGCATTGCATGTGGGTGCACTACCAAAATGTTATTTCCTGACTTTGCTTCCCACATTCGTCTAAAGGACTACAATGCCAGCATTCGGAATTTATTTCTAAATTATCTGTTCAAGTGGAGTACAAATTTCAACACAAACAGGAAAAGTGACAACAATTTTCAGCTTTTTCATTCAGAAGCACTATTTTAAAGACACACTCTAAATCCTTCTTCAGTGGAAAAAAAATTGTCTGCTTCAGGAATCTACATGCTGAAAAATAATATACACTAGGAACACAGTATATCTACCTGGGGTAACTGAAAAGGATCTGTTCATATCTAAAGATGATGATCGAGAATGAGAAGGATGAGGCCTTGGCGGGGGTGGCGGCGGTGCAGTGTTATCTGGAGATGTTCCTGAATGTGATCTGCAAAACATATAAGCTTCTGTAGTGATTTTAGGCAGCCGCAACAGAACTAAAATTCAAAAGTTCTTCAAAGTATGCAATTAAAAAATAAAGTTTGACAAATGGAAAAGAGCCTGATTGCCATTGATTTTGAAGATTGCAAAATCAGTTTTAAACTTCTGGTATTCTTTGATTTCACAATTGTTTTTATATTTCTATTTACTTAAATCTCCGTTATCCAAATTATTCTTATATTACCACAAGTAATTTATCTTTGGGAAACCAATAGCTTGATACACATCCCAAACAATCATAGTTCAGGAACAGAGAATCCTAAACATGGTAATTCCATCCAGATGGTAGTCACTATAATTTGCAAAGTATGTAAGATGTAGTCAACATCCTGATTAGGTTTTGAACTGTTTAACTTCACTGTAACTGAAGAACAACATTAAGTTTCTGTTGGACCTGCCTCCAAGTATATTGAGCTTAAGGATGTATCTCAGTGCACGAGATAGCTATTTAATTCTCTGCCTGAAATTTTCCAAATCTATATACTTGGTAGGATCTTCAGAAATTTTAACTCATTCTTACGTAGGATCACCATCTAGTGGATACCTGTCGTAAGTTCATCGAGCACACATGCAGAAAGCATAGAAGGATGAAATACTGCACTAAGTGCCATTTAAGTGAGATTTATTGTATACAGAATTCTTGTACAGCTTCTATTTAAAAGCAGCTTGAAGATACTTCCTAACTAGTCCACTTTGAGCAAGACAGATTTACTGAATCACTGACATGAATATGGCTATTCTTTTACTCAACTCATAAGTAAGTGATAAAATCTTTTCTATGACTGACTTCTGTAACATTCTTCTATAACTATCATAAGACATAAAACTAGGACAGTAAGAGGTACCCACGTTTCACACAAAACCTGAAATCCATGAATGTGTAAGTCCAGACAGAAAACTTGAGTTATTGCAATAGAAAAATCTGGTTCCTGAATATACTCTCCAGGACAATGCTTCTGTAATATTGCATAACCCTCCAGCTGATGAAAACCAAATCTAATTACATGGACTCCTATGGTCACCCCTCTAGCTAGTCTAGTGTAAAAGGCACAAGTAGGATAAAAAAGGAAGAAAGTGGTTTAAGGACACTCCTGAAGTATCATTACCTGACATAGCCTTCTCAGTTCTTGCTTTTTGAAAATACAAAAAGTACTCTGGACTAATGGTAGGGTTAAGGACAATGTCATCTCTACAGATAAAATTGCAATTGGTAGAAGAGATATCAGTGGAAGGAAGTAAAAGAGGAAGTGGTAGAAAAAATTACTGCGTGGACACTGCCAGAATTGCCAGATCTGGACAGAAGCTACCTGTGCTATGAAGCGGCAACTCATCAGAAAGCTTCACTCATCTACACAAGTTCAGCAAAAGAACCCAACCCAAAATCAGAGATGAAAAGAACATGTTGAAACCATCATGTTGATAGTGCAAAAACATATATAGAAGCAGGACAGACAATCAGATTTGCCATTAAGTAACAATGGAGGAAAGAAGTTTTCAAGCTGCTGTACTGAAAGGCAATTGCAAATCTTTCTTTGCTATTGAAGTCACCCTAATTATTTTTGTTTTGAAACTTACCTCTGTAAGACGGTTAATGGCGTAGCTGGTTTTTAATCCTATTCAGGCAGATTTAATGGGAACAATTAGCACTAGCTAGTACAGCACGTTCTCTTATGTCAAACGATGCAGTTGTTGGTTATGTGCTTGCATAGCTTCCTCCAGTCCCTTAATCTGTTGGGCATATAACTGCCCTTCATTTTATAAAAGCCCATTATTAAAAGAGATTGAATTACTGCTGTGATATTTCTAATTTATGTTTTATTCTTCTTTTATGCTACAAAATCACAAGGTCCTTCTCCATTAATGCCTAATGGACATTTTTAGAACTACGAAAAATTGTTTTCAAGTAACATCATGATCTCCTGCGCGTACAATCCCTTGTGTTTAAGGAGAAAGTCTTTATCAAGATTTCTGACTGAACGTGGAGTTTCATTTGACTGGCCAATCCCAAACAAGTTTTTAGACTACATAATTTTTTGAATTTTTACACATTAACAGGAACAGCATACATTGTTAATGCATTAGAAAACAGACTGCCTCCAGATTCCCAAGTGTTAAAGTTAAGAATCTCTTTAGCCATCACTTTACAAGCTAGTTGTCAAACAACCAGAAGCTCAGAACAGGCTTCTTTAAACACCTTTTATTTATTTTTTTTCAGTTGCTACCCTACTGACCGTTGCCGCGTTACAGTGCTTCCAATTTGCTCTGGATCTGAAGTATAGGAGTCCGAACTGCTGTAACCATCTGCTGGTAAGAGAAAGTACAACGTTTCATATTCGTTTTGCATCATTAATATACCCTAACAGATATAGGTAACACATAATTTCAAATAACCAGTTTTTATTTTTTAAGAAAGTTTATGTCCTTGTATTGCTTCCCTGTAAGGTATCATCTGGGCAGGATTCATAACCACAGAGTCTGAATAATTGCAGGATCCAATACAAACCAACTCCCTTCACCCAATACTATGACTTGTTGATTACTACTGGGATGTACTGAAGAATAAACAATGATAATAATGTTGTATTTAAAATACAAAATGTAAGTTTCATAAGCAATAATTTTTAAAACACTTGACATTCTATCACTTCAACAATCTAGCCAGTAAGAGTAAGGGACATCCAAGAAAAAAAAGCAAGAAGTAGAACATGCTTGATTTTAGAAGTGCTGAAGGATTATCACCAACCTTACAAGTCAGAAAAAGGAAAAGATATGTACAGTACACAAATGAACTCAGTAGCTTTGCTACTACTGTAACTTCTGTACCTTCAAGGTTGGTAGTCAGCTCTGTTTTGGACTAAATCTTTTTGAAAGCTTTCAGCTTTTGGTTAAGGCAACCTATAAAATGAAAGATGCTATTACAGCATCACATAGACAGTTTCCTTAAGGATACCTTTACCCTTAAAAGCTGTGCAAAGCTTGAGGTTTTTTCCCCAGATATGAGAAGTTTTCACCAAAATCACAAAATTTGTGTGGAATGAATGTAGACAGAAAAATGGCTCTCAATAATTTATCACAAGGGATGATTCCAGAGCACCCAGTAAAGCACAATTCAAGGTGGAAAGTCACTGGAGCAATGAAACTCACCCGATTAGTTATCAGTAAAGAGGAAAATCCTACTCAAGAACATCAAGATTTTTTTCTGAATTACCCAGTCTCAAAGGATTACTTCAACCCTCTAGGACACTAAAGTTTTCAGAAGTGTCAAGACACATCAACCAGGACCCAGAGACAAGAATCCTGCAGAGATGCCTTTCCTGTTCAGCAAGGCACATTCTTAGCTGTTATTTTTTTTTTTTTCCCTGAAAACTGCAGCTACATTTACCTAGTGACGTTGGCTTGAGACCTTTACCATGCACAGTCACAGTTGAGGAATACCTTATTTCAAGTTAATTTCAGATTAAAAGTTATTTTGCAGGTTTACAGGTGTGTGTCTATTCAATGAGGCCTACAGAGAATTGAAAAATGACATACACATTCTTTAAAACAAAGAAACAGAAATGGCTACCATGAGATGGCATTTAAGTTTTCAAGGGTCAAGTATGAAAATTAAGTTTTAAGCAGAAGTTGGTTATATGGTGAATGAAATAATCTCTGCAATCCAAACATCTCTAGTACTGGGTATATTTCTCAAGCCGTTCAAGATGTAATATAACCTAGTCAAACAAGAATTCATGTAATCACACTTCTAAAGAGGAAAGAGTAAGCCCTTCTGGACCAAAAATTTTTTTCATCATTTCAGTACAAAACTACTGGGTTTACACTGATAATAGAAGTATTTCTAAACCAATTTCAAAGACATTTGGACAGTAAACAATTTCCATGGTTATATAAGGCAAAGGATGGTCACTTAGCAAATGTAATCGTCATACTGCACTAATATTGTCTAATCCAAACTCATGAGTTTGAACACGATCTTAAATCTAACAGAACCCTTTTTCAGTATTTCCAGTAACATAAGCATGATGGTCAGGTAAAGTTCCTATTATGAAGGATATAGAGACTTGTTGCAACATTATTTTTGCCCTGAAGGCGGGTTTCTATTTTTCAATGTTAGTAACACAAGTTAGTTTCCAGCTTTGTCTGTATTTCATTATGAAGGAAGGTAATTTACATTATCTTTACCTTCCAATTGCTGTATTCATGATCTTGTTTATATCATTTAGCAGGAGTTTAAAATAACATATTCACAAACTTGTCCTTAATGACATATTGAAGTAGCATGTTGCTTTAAAGTTAAAACAATCTGGGAAAACAGCAGTTATTTTTGCTGCTTTTATCTTTACTTGCATAATAACAGTTTCAACAGGGTGGGTGTCCAGCAATCAGAAGAATTATTGATGAACTTCTCCAGTTATCACTTTCTGAGGTTATGGATCCTCTCTCCTTTGTTCCAAATCACACAGCTTGCACAGAAAGACAATTGTGCAGTGCCTATGCCTACTGACTCTTATCTCATGCAATGGAAATGCTTGTCCCTGCTTCCTGGCTTAGGTCTGAGCTGCTATTTACAAATTCGTAACTTGCAAGCTGGATTACTGTTGATGTAAAGCATGGAAAATACAGCCAAAATACTAATTTCTCAACATCAAGATGATGCTTATAAAGCACCATTGGTTCTCAGTTCAAACACTATTTTAATTTATTGATATATGAACAATAGACTATGAGAAGTAACAACCTGCATCTAAATTTTGATCAATAAAACACTAAGAAATCTGAACTCTTCTGTACAACGCAGAAAAAAGCATGTGAACCTATGAACAAAATATTCTAGAAGAAATGTTCTTAAGAATATCCACTTATGAAACAACACTTCCAAAACAGTGATACATTAAAAAAAACAAAACCAAAACCACTTGCTTAAATTAAGACTGACACTCCCTATTCTCAAATGAATTCTGGCACAGCTAAACAAAAACAAACAACAACTACAGCAAACACTGAAAAATGAGCCCAGCCCAACAACTCAAGGAAGCACACTATAGACATTGTCACTGATTTAGCATAGAAGGTGCTCAGATACACTATTAAAGACAGACACTAAAGAACATAAAGAAATGTAATTATCAAGACAGCAAGTCTGCACAAAAAAAAAAAAATCCTGTCAAGATTTATAGTGGTTTTTAAGCATCAGAAATTCATCTTCTAGAGTTAGCTTGCATTAAATGATTTCTTCAGGATTCACCTGAAAGATGTTAACTATCCAAATTACTTACGATACTGACAAGAGCCATTTCCTTGGAAAAAGGATGGGCATCCCATGACAACTACAGTTTGAGGTACTACAGGCTGACTTTATGTAAAACTGCAATGAGGTTTGTTTTATTTTGCTGCATTCTTCCTCTGAGGGTCAAATGCTTCTTGGTATAATTACAGTTACAGGCCCTTTATCAAAGGTTAAGCTATACTTGGATAAGGAAAAAGGACTACAGAAGGGCTCTTAGAACTTAGATCCTGCATATAGTAGTAGTTTCCCCACTAAAAGACCATGTTTGCTCATTCTTTCTTTTGCATCAAAAGACTACCCAGTAAAAAGAGCTCTGCTTGAAAAAGACAGATAGGCTCAAGACACTGCTCAGAACGAAGACTGCCACTGAAACAGAGTTCATGAGGAAAACCAAAACACGTTGCAAAAAGGCACCTTCTAAATTACTCCTGTATTACAAACTAACCAAAATACTTCTGTCTTAACACTGCACAGCAAAGGACTCAAAGTAATGAGTTCTTCAAACCTTATTTTCACTGAAGAAAAGTTCCCAGCTTAAAGAAAACAAAAGATGTCAGAAACAGATTCCAGAGATTCATTCAGGCTACATATAACCTGGGACATCTCTCAATATTAGACAACTAGACTAATCAAACCAAAATAATGCAAAATGTACTCGACACAGGAGATTCTGAAAATCAAAAAGTCTATTAGAAGCAAATAAACACTTGAAAAGCTGTACCTAAAAAAGAAATCTAGAGGTCTATCGCATTTTCTTAGTAGCTAAACCAGATGAGAAGTGCCTGAAAATTTTGTGGTCAACAGGTTTTCCACTCTTCAGAAAACATGCTGTTACACGGTTCTGAGGAAGTAGAATCAAATGCTACTTAGTCAATTCCACTTTCCATACATTTAAATTCCTCATCCTAAGATTAAAAGAGAAAACAGGAAGATGGAAAAGAGCTGACAAAAATGAACTTTTTATAACACATATGGCAGGAAAACATCTCCAGCGACATCAGTAGAACTTTCTTAATTACTACTTCTAAAATATACTTCATATCAAAAATGTCTCTATTCTTAGGATAAGTTTATCTCATTTTAGAGCTGCTGTTATCTAGCAGGTTTTCATTCACTGAAGAATGTATCAGATCTACACTTTGCATAATATAAAAAATGAGATCAGAAAGTACTTTGATACTTACTAACTGTATTTGCAGCTGTAAATTTTACAGATGAACTCATTTTGTTTTCTTCCGGGAGATCAGGTGGTTTCACAAGTAGTGGGCTAGTAGGGTTAGCATGATCTAGGTGGAAAAACAAGCCTAATAAACAAATGTATTCAAACTAACCTTTACTTCTGATGCCAAAGCTTTACATTAGTTTTCTGCCCTTATCTGAAGTGCTGCACTCAAGACTAAAATTGTTTTATTTTAACACTTTTGGTGTATGAATTATTTTAACTTTGAAGTTTTACATTGTAATACTGTTATTTCTATTTCTCGGTGTTAAGAATTGGGAATCTACCTATTTACAAAGCTAAGGAAATTTTAAAAGAAATGTGTCGTGGATACTTGTTTATTCTCATATGCTGAAGACTGTGCATGAGTTACATGACTTTAGGAAACACTGGCACATTGGGGCACAACTATAAATTGAGACTCCACTGTTCTTCAAGGAAAATTATCAAACCAGCTTCCCTATTTTTATTAAAGAAAAAAAAAAGCCTGCCAGTATTCCCAAATGCCATCAAGTTTCAAAATAATAAACTCAGTATTTCTGACCACAGTAGAACAAGCAGGCTATGTTCTCCATCTTCACAGTCTCCTTCAGTATTTAATAAGGAAACCCAGACATTCTCCTGGAGGTGCAAATCAAATCTATATCATGATGCTCCTGAACTACTCCAAGCAATGATCTCCTATAGATGGTGAAATCCTCACTGTAGCAAATGGCCAAATCAAACTCTTATCTGAACAGTACTCCAATTCTTAACCCAGAGAATCTCATTAATTATGCTGGTTACAACTCCAGATACATTCATCTAAAGAGAAGAAAAAAAGTCAGCATGTTTAAGGAAGCAAAGCCAACTCTAATTTTACAATACTTTCCTCATTAGCAAGAGAAAATACCCTACCACTTCCAGTTCTTTTAAGCTCCATTTCCTGCATGTGGATTTTGCTTGGAGTCATTCTTATGGGAACTGGGTGCACAATTGCAGTGTCCTGTGGAGGAGATAAGAGTTAAGTGATGTTAATTTTAGTTTTTCTAGTTTTAAATTGTTCTGTTAAGAGTCTCTGACACCATGCCAAATGCCATTTCTAAACAAAATTTCACAAATTTAATTTTTTTTTTTTTTTACACGTTGAATTGAATATACCCATAAAACCAAAGCTCTGTAAGCTGAAGTTTCTCTGATTTATAAGGTGTAACCTAGCATACTACTTTAAAAGGGCACTAGAAATGTTTCTATAGATTACTGCGTTGTAAATAGGACCTCAATTTTACCAGCTTTCCACCATTTTTGACATACCAGATATCTGTTACTTCAAGTGCATCTTCAAAAAAAGAGGAAAAAACCAAACAATTTCAAAACCCCACTCCTCAGCTTTACTTACGATGTCTCAGTAAGTTATGGTCTCTTTAAATAGTATGAGTAATTCTCTATAAAATAGGTACTTTGTAGTAGTTTAAGGCAAATAGTTTCATGAATCTTCTAAACTTTACTATAATAAACCCTATGGATTCTATCTCTAGACAGATGCTGACCTCACGCTTAGGCATTTTCTTTGTAGTTCAGACAAGGGACTATTTTAATGTACTTAACAGACAGCCCTTTCCATTTGGTTTGGAGACAGCGTAGATAGCTTAAAAAAAAACCTCAAAACTTTTACGTTTGTTCACAAGTAACCTAAAATATGGACGTAGCTGGTTTTCTTACTGTCATCTATAGTCAGAATATATGAATAGGTGGGACAATTACAGCACAGAAAAAAATCCCAGATTATATTCTGTCCTTAGAAATAACAAGAAGTTTCAAAGCTACCCTCGTATCAGAAATTTAATCTGTTCTGACTACTCAAGTAGATCAATTTCACCAAGCATAATACATTTACATTAATATTTTCTAAAACTGTTTAAACTGACTTGCACTACTCTTGTTGCAAATATAGGCTTTTAAAACCACTTTCTAGTCACAGCTCAAACAATCTTGTCGCACCAGGCTTTTAGGAATAGTTATCACTTTAAAATGTGTTGCACTCTTTTCCCCGTGTAAGGGCATTATCATGCAAAGATCACTCTTGCTGTAGCTACTTCAGTCCTCTGCTGCAATCTAATGTGCAGCTACTACAAAAATCATATCTCAAACAGTTAAATGGGTTTCTATATAATGTATTAATTCCGATCATAAATCTAATTTTACACAAAACAACTTAACATGTTATCAACTTTCACGTACAATAGGCAAATTATGTTCCTATACCAGGGCATGAATGTACTGTTTTACTCTTTCCACTTATCTTTTACCTCCAAAGCAGCTGCTTTTCCAACAAAAAAGAGAAGAGGAAAGAACTTGTCTATGAATTTACTCTAGTTAGTTATTAACAACTGCTAGAGAAAGCTGATTCTTTCCTTTGGGAAAGCAGGAGTTGTTTAATACATCAGTTCCATGCATCACTGTTGAGACTGGTAAAATAAGAAGTCTGCACACTGCCACTGAAAATTTGCTGTCATTTGTTCTTATTTTCATATGAAAATAAAGAGTCTGAGTATCTGTTCCCAAAGCCTGTTACCTTAGCAAGCATCAAAGATGCTCACCATTCTTTAAAATTTGTCTCAACTACAAGCATTGTAACAAAACAACTCAAGAATGTGATCTCCCAGTATTTTTTTTTTATTTCTATTGAATTTCTGTTTATACACACATGCATACACACATGCATACACACACATATACAAACATATATATGGCTATATATGAGTTTTCCATATATCACTGTTCTACTTTTTAGATTATCAACATATGGGGAAAATTTTCAAACTTCAGATTTCTGTCATTTACTAATTATGTGTAAAAATAAATTACTATCTTACTGTGAAAACAAGACAGTGATAGCTCTTTACTGTCAAGCAATTATACACAGTAAGAAACAACTATAAACTGATTTCCATCATGTTTACTTCATTAAAACAAAAATATAATACATTTAAACAAAAAAAAGTCTCTCTCAAGATGAAAATGGGGTGGTTTTCACTTTAGGTATGACATTTTAATTTGTTTTGAATGTTTACTAACGGCAATTCTGAGCACAGGGAACAGTGCAGTTTGAATTCTAGCCTTCAGCATCTAGAAATGCTACTTCCACATAAATAGCAGTGTAAAGTCCGAGAGTGGAATACTGACATATTTAAAATGTATGTATATTTATGTATTATATCTTCTCAGAAGTGACCCGCTTACTACTAAAAGCAGTTAAATGCGTATTATGTATACCTATTATATTTTGTTATATAGTCAAATGGACACTAGCACCGTAATTAATTAAAATGGACACTAACAGTGGTAATTAAATCTGTAAGAAAAGCGGGATGAAAGCAGCAGCTAAATACTGAAGTAATTTTAATGCATTTCAGAACTGCTTCAATGTCACATGCTGTGAAGTTTAAAACCATCAGAACTTGAAACACTGTAGTGAATTTCTGGCTCCCAAATTTGGCAAGATATTTAACTACGTAATCCTTTAGAGCACTCCTCACTGAGTAAAGCATTAGAACATCACAGGTTTAACTGAAGAAATACTAAAAGCCTTATTAATAGGAAGTAACTTGGTGAAAACATTAGGAGTATGAAATACCACACCCATTAAAGCCCAGTAGTTTTTTCAGTGAAGTTGGCATTGTCAACTCTTAAGAGTTTGTGCAAATCAAGCTCTGCAACTCGAAAAAAACAGAACAACACTGAAGACAAAATCTAAAACAGGACTGGTTTATCACTGGGAGGGGCCCTTCCATTAACTTCTAAATATTTTCAAAAAAACATTATGTTTAAATACTTTGTGTAGTACAGGTTTTGATAGCAGTATTGTATTATATCAAAATCAAGGGGAAAAAAGCATTCTTTGCACTTAGATCTTAAACATGAGCAGTACTAGAAAATTTGTATTCCTAAAATAAGCAAAAAATTTAAGCCTGCCACCATTCCCCAAAAAGCAGTCCATGGAATCATGCATAACAGCTAAATACAATGAATGGAAATTCAGTGTTAATAAAATTAATTTCAAACAAGCAAGCTAAGTGATTGACTTACAGGATCAGCTGGTGCAATGTTAGAATCAAATTGGGTCAGAGTTTGTGAGCTTGAAGAGCGTTCGCTAAATGTCTCCCACTGCTGAACAGACAGAGGAGAGAAGTCAGCATGATGAGAAAGATGGGAGTAAAAGATCACTGAGGAGATTTAGCATAGTAGTTCGGAGGTTGCACTGGAAAGTACTATAGTTGCACTGGACAGTACTTGACTTGGAAAGCACACTAATACACATTACGTATTTCTATTTCAGTCTGAGATTGTTGTGCAACCAAGTTTGTAATCTGTCAATATTAATCTTTACATTCACATTTCATAATGAAGATACAGGTGCGCAGTCAATACAGAAATACCTTCAGAGTTCATGTTTGCCAATGAAAGTCATAAAAATTAAAAAAAAAATGGTTAAGCCATTCAAATACTGTAAAGAAAATCAGTGCCACATGTTGTGTGTATTTGTAATTATCAAATTCACAGAAAGGTTCCTCAGCTTTGTAGCTGCTGAGTTGCAAACATATTTCATAAATGCTGATTTTCTTACAATATCTCAGACAAATGAATACTCCAATTACACCAGTTCAGCTTGCCAGTGCAACCTCTGAGAAGTGATTCTATGCTGTAAAAGAATATTTTTACAAGTCTAAATCACTGACAAGGCAAAGAATTAAATTCAAACATACTGTTGATTGCTAAAAGCAAATAAGTCAATCTCTGAACAATTTTATAAGATATAGGCATGCTGTATCAATACATGGTTGTCAGGAGTCCTCATGTTTAGGAAGTCAAGCTACAGCCACAACTGGATCAACAAAGTACCAAAGTACATAAAATTAGCCTGTGATCCAGAAACCAGATTACAAATCACAACAGGAATGCTAAACTTGTTATTTTGGTAAAATAACAAGTACATGTTAACCAAGTTTCAAACACTACAACAAAAATTACAAATACGAAATTTTTAGTGCTCAGAAAATTTGACAAAAATATTGTTAGCATAGTTGTGAAAACAAATCAATATTCCTGTCCCATCTCTACAGGCAAATCAATGTAAATGATTCTAGAACATACAGGACAAACTATATGGTGTTAGTCAACCTACTCTCATGTGCTCCTCTATGCCGAGCTATATTCAGTGAATGGCCCATATATGAACCTAGTATAAAACAGTTATTTCACAAATAACTCTTTATGCAAATTCCTAAATAACTGTTTTCCATCAGCTGAAATTAAATTCAGAAAAAGATTAACTAAATTTGTAAGCGGATTCCTGCATGGTGCTGCTCCTTGTAGAGACAGAGCCTCATCTCCTCATTTCAAACTTTAAATTAAGATTACAGGATAGTGTTCATATGGGTTTTTTGAGGTGGTTTTTTTTTCCCTTTTTTTGTTGTTGGTGTTTTTTTCGTTTTGTTTTAGGTTTTGTTTGTTTGTTTGTTTTGTTGTTTTGCTTTGGTGGTTTATTTTGTTTTGGTTTTGGTTTTTTTTAACCAGACAAAACTACCCCCTTTATGGACAGAATCTAACAAAACCTTTTTAGTAAGGATGTAAGGTTTCCCTTGCAAACTGCTCTGTCCCACTCCCTGTATTAAGCAGTTCATCTCTGTGTCATTCCACCCCTGCACAAAGGGCAGCATTGCAAGTAGTTTGGAGCTATACAGACCTGTTCAGTGAGCCGGTTTTTACTAGTCAGAGACTTCAGGGTCAAGTTCTGCCAGCCTTTCCCCTGATTTGGCCTCTTTCATTTACACAGCTGCTCATTTTCATGAAATACGCATTAATATTTTTTTTTTTTTAGGACTACCACTACTCTTTCAAACTTGATTTGGCCAGTGGCTTCAAAGTTACCTGTGAGACTGGCAAGCAGACCATTTGATTGCAGAAATATGGTTTCTTAATTTTTCAAAACTTCCATAAAGGCATAAAGCATCTATGTTATAGTTAAGATCAACGCTAAAATATTATTTTTTAGAGATGGATGCTGAATTTACCTCTTATTCTACTCCTCTGGAGCCAAATTGCAGGACATTTATTACTTGTCCTCAAGCTCCCTAGCTGGGCACACAGAAATGAACACCAACACCTCCCGGCTGCTCTAGGGAGTATGCTATTTGTGCTCCATCCTGAGATACTACCAGAAGCTAGTTAGTGCTAATTCCCTGGTTAACAGAAAGCTACATATATTAAGGATCTACTGGACTGCATCTTAAACTCTGTGTAAGGTTTAAGAGCATTGACAATACAACTGATTGCTAGGATAAAACTCCTACTAGCTGAGACTAAAATACTTGTCTTCTAGACTTGCAAAAATGTTTCAAAAATACTTTCAAAAGGTTAATTACTAGAAACTAAAACTCACAGCAACCTGAACCATTACTAAAAGAACACCAAGACATTTGAAACAAGGTGTAACGGTTGTGAACTCAAAAGCAAGTCTCCATATCTGTGTCAAAGCTAATATGACCATATGACACTAGACTGTTTTCAACAAAAATTTAGTAGGCTTTTCAATTTTTTTTAAAGCTCTCAGAACTTAGTGCTCAGACTTGAGACTGGATTAAAAAGATGTCTGAAGTGAGAAAGAAGCAATGAGTGAAGCGATGAGAACGTGAAGCATGTAGTATCCAGAGTTACATGAATTCTCATGGTGCTCTTTATTGTGAAGTTTGAGATTGATGCCGTGATCCGTACTAGTGGGCTTACAGTAACTGAGCCTGGCAACTGGAGTCTAAAAATCAACTATGAGCTAGAAAGAACAGAGTAACCAACAGTTTTGAAACTAACAGGGATGAAACTGCCTGGAAAGGCAGATGATCCAAAGATGCATAGCTTTTTCAAGCAATTCATTTGTTCATGACAGTTATAAGAGGTTCAAACAGGAAACAATTAGACTGGTGCCTGCAGTAATACCAGAAATTTTTTCATGGCATTAAAACCTTGAGGACTTTGACCTGACTCATGTTGAAAAGAAAATGCTGAGGAGCAAGAAGCATGCACAGCAATATAGCTGAAAAATCAGAAATTCCTTTGTGTTAGAACAAAAAACATTTAATAAATGTTCAACTCTCATTTTAGTATAGTTAGTATCTGGTAGTATATTTAGTTTGAGAATTTTTCCAAACCTCTTGAAGTTTTAGTAGATTTTCAGGAAAAAAATAACACATTATCTATCTGAATAGGCAAAGTCAGTTTTGTAAGACAAGATTTTGGCTGACAGAGAATTGTCATTAACTTTGTTCCACTACTGCAATTACCCGATTCAATTGGTTTGAGTTGCATTGGACACTGAGGAATCTGTTCAATTATGATGCAACTTACCAAATGATTAGCTTATTAAACCTTTATTGCAAACATGAGGCAATGTATCAATGCAAATTTTAATACAGTTGTAGACATTAACAGCTTTTTAGCAACAACTGAGTATCTGCTCACCTCCCTTCTAAAACATAGCTCCTTACCAACAGTCTAAGAGTCACTCTGTCAAACAGAACAACTAAGAATCACTAAATCATTTCCTACATTTTTTATTTGGTAAGGACATCACTGTGAGGCTAGCATTTGCCCTTAAGAAGAACAGCAGACTTTACAAAGTCCTTCCTCCTGACAGAGGAAGAACATTTCCTCTGCTCCTAACTTTAATCCTAAGAATTTGCTTATTTTCTGTTTCATACTGACTCTCCTTTGGTTTGTCTAAATGTTCTACTACCAATCTTCTATTCACTTGAAGTCTAACAAAGAAAGAAGAAAGCCACAAAAAACTCTTTCAATAACAGAAGCAGGTAAGATAATACTCAGTTATTGACGCAACTATCTCAGATGTTAAAACAAGTTTTAGATTTTTCTTGAGAGTCTCAGATTATTAAATGAAAAAGTTTTCCAAAAATCATTTCAATGCTTTTCCTTTTTTCTTCCCTTTATAACGAAAAATAAGCCTACATCATCTTTGTAGTATGGCTGCTGTCAGGAACTCTGACTTTAGAGACTCTGAATTTGAGTCTCTGAAGTAGCTCTTGGAATAAAACACTGGTTTATTCTAAGTCAAAGGCAAAAATGTTAAAACAAGAAAAACTCTAGGAATCAATCCCTTATAGGCTTTTTAAACAATGGATATTTGTGGGGAAAAAAAATATAAACAATCCTCTTTGGTAACTTCAGTTTCAAATTCTGACAAAGTACAGCTTTACTATCTAAGACTGCTTATACAGCAAATACAGAACCATAGAAGCATTTAGATTGGAAAAGACCCTTAAGATCATCGAGTCCAACCATTAACCTAGCACTGCCAAGTCCACCACTAAACGAATTTAGCTAATGGCTGGCTTAAGATTCAACTTTGAGTCTTTGCTTCTGAAACAAACCCAGAGATATGACTTCTCTATATTACTGGTGACATATTTTATATTTCAGGGTAAATTCATCTCCAGAAATAACTCTTAATGTCCAGATCCATCAGAAATTTATTTTGAAGTTTCGCAAAAGTGTTAGCTATGAGAGCCCTTTAGAGGTAACAAAAAACCCTGACCAAAACCCGACCCTAAATGAAAAAATCAGGAGCGAATTCAACTTTTTCAATAAATGCTATGAGATCATTCTGTGATTAATATAAAGCTTAATTACCATTAATGACAACATTTTAAGTGGTAGCTCATCTCACAATGAGACAGAAAAATCAGAAGGAAAACATTACCTTTTTTACAAGTTAACATGTGCAGAACCTTCCTGTGTCTATTGTCCTGCTAACTTTTTCACAATTTGTGATCAACAGTCCACTCATGATGAATTATGGATGCATACACAATTTAGTTATTGACTAACAATGAAATAACTCTTAAATAAAAATGCTAACCTCACTGCTCTGATTCAATTCTGGCCAGGTCTGGTTTAGGGATGGCATTGATGGAGACTTGCTTGGAGGCGCTTCTGCTGGAGAGCTGGAGTAACCTACCTCACCAGTCTGTTCCCCAACTTCTGAAATGACAGGAATCACTATAAACCAAAATCATGCATTGCATTGAGTTTATTCTCAGAAGAGCTGGTCACATCTCATGGAAAGTGCGAAGTACCCTTTGGTTTCATCTCTTCCAAGTAAATACTTAGCAACAGACAAAAAACACTCGTTCAAGTCAAATACACTATTTATCAGGTGCTACTCTTATTTTGAGGATCTTTCTGAATATTGGACTTTGAAGATTACTCTGTACCATACTATCTCCTGGTACTTTGGCTTTTAAATAGCACTTTCAGATTTTGATTACATGTAGAAATAAATATAATTCCTTCTTACATTATGAGAAAATAACTTCACACTAATGTTTATTAAATCCAGCACCGAGAAGTTTATCTTACAGAATAAAATACCTCCTTATATGAAAGGTTAAAGCAAAACCAGTGTATCAATGCAAACACAAACCAAAAATATGAAAACAGAGATGAAGAAAACCATTCCCTTAGATTATTCCCCAAAGAATATTTTAAGTTTTAAGCCTCCTTACTAAAACAACGGTGTTTCCATTCACTACATTTGCAAATTGAACAAGTCTAGCAGCTGTCACATTGCAACTGTACATTTACTGTTATTTCTGTTATTACTGTTATTTGTTTTCTCTGAGCTTTCAGCAAGTACACTCCCTTGCAGAAACACTCCTTCAGAGTTGTACAAATTTTCATGATGCAGCACACTTATTTTTGTTCTGTTCAAACTATAAGAGAATTGGGTAAAGTAAATCTGAACAGCAGATGAAGCATTCTGCGTAACACAGGAAAATCCTGCTTACAGTGTCTTCTATTTTGCTAGATAACACAACACAAGCTAAAGCAATGCTTTGAAAGCCTCAAAAAAATGAAGTTCAGATTACAAATGTATAACGTCAGGAACAGTTGAAAGAGTGACTGATAAGCAGCTAGACATATTAACAAGACATTTGTAGTCCGAAGAATTAAAACTCTGAACAAGACAAAATACTGCACAAGCGGAAAGATGGCTTAATTAAATTACCATTTAACAGGACTGCTTGATAGATATGTGATTGAAGACGACTGCCACAAGAATGCGTGACACATTGTGCCAAAAGTTGATTAAAATTTATGAAAAGGATTGGTTTCAGGCTCCTGAAGAGCTGAACTCTGCAGCCTGCTCTTCTGCTACGACAGCTCAATATTCTGTCTGCTGTCTTCCATTCAGAAGAAACTCATAACAAATCCAGTGTCAAACTGAGCTGTGTGGCTTGTGGGAGTTGAGGAGGCATGTATGTATGGTGGTGTAAAACTGGCACCAACAAGAAGTTTGAACTGAAAACACTTGAATAGTCAGTGGTGACCAACTGCACCTTTGAAAACCAATAACAATCCGTTATTGTCTCCAAAGTGGTGCTGGGGACAGCAAGAGGCAGAGCCTAAAAAGAATAGCCAAAACACTGAAGTCCAGAAAGAAATTAATTGTCCCATCTTGAGGCCAGGGGAGGCTGAGGTGCTACTGATGTGAAAAAAGCCACACAAATTAGTAACTCATCAAAATTTCAAAGGTCTTGTAAACTTCCTGTAAATAGCCAGCCATCAGGTTGAGACTCAATGTTCCCAAACTTGTGCCCAGCACCTAGCATCTTGTACTACTGTCCTTTAGGGAAAACAGCTTCACAAATTGTTCAAGATAGAAACTGCATTTAATACCTGCTTCAGGCAAAAAGCATCTGGCAATAAAAAATAGGCTACATCAAGCTGATATCTACAGGCGCAACGATGTCACCAAGTAGTCAAGATGACATGCTGCGGTCATTGTACACAAAATAATATACTAAGTTCAAAATATGCCAGTGGTAATGTTTTGGGGATGCGTACTGAATATCAATTGCTCTGAAGTGTAACATGAATAAAAAATTTCTAATGAGTTAAAAAACCACTCAAAAGTCTCATTTCAACAGTGGTGCGATAGATAACTGAACTAACTATTAGTGTTAAATACAAGGTCAAAAGATAAGGCTGCTTTGAGGGAGGGACTGCTTTGGACATTGGAGGGACTGTTGTAACTACAAGTAAACCTACAGTCAAGTCAATAACTTCTCCTAAAGTCTTTTATTCAACATACAAGTTTTGGTGATAAATCATGTTAGGTGCTAGAAAAGATCTGCTATTTCCAATACTGGTGGCTCAAACAAAAAAAAAAAAAAGATCTAGTTAATTAGATAAAACTCAACCAGTTTGCAAGAACTGTCACTTTTCATTGTAGCTATTAATAACAGCAGAATCAAGTATCAATAAGAACATTTTTCTTTAAGCACAGCTTACACAGCATGGTAACCTTTTAACATTCACTAGAACAGGGTAACTTCCCTTTAATACCAGATGGAAAACCTTTTTTTTTTTTTTTTTTTTTTTTTTTTTTTAAAAGTTTTTTTTCTTAAATTTTAAAAACCACTTTGTTCTAAGAACATTTTTCTTTAAGCACAGCTTACACAGCATGGTAACCTTTTAACATTCACTAGAACAGGGTAACTTCCCTTTAATACCAGATGGAAAACCTTTTTTTTTTTTTTTTTTTTTTTACTACTTTTAAAAGTAGTTTTTCCTCAAATTTAAAGACCACTTTGTACCTCATGAAAATAAGTCACCAAGTTTTATATTAACAAAGTTGCCTGTAAAATAAGAACAATAAACACACACATAACACCTTTTGGTACAATGTCCAATTCATAAAGTTTTCAGACAACTTTAGTTAAATGATAAAAGCCTTGAAATCTACTACCAATAAAGGCAGTAGAAGATCAGGTACAGATATAGTAGGTTTTTTTTAAAAAAACCTAACAATGTTTTATACAAATTAATTTTACTCCATTTCTTATCAAGACTTTTGCTTGGCCATCACCTTAACACAAAAATAGACAGAATGGGTAGGTTTTAGACGCTTGCTAGGTATTCACCGAAGTAATTGTAGATATTTCTTATGAATGCTTTCATCACAGTAAAAGGCTTACTCATACTGAACACACTTCAGTTGTGGCTGCCTGCTGTTGGCAAGGTTCTTTGAGGAGCGAAGTTACTCCCACAAAAAAAATGGTTTAATTATTAAAGCTGAGGTACTAAGAGCCACAGTATCTAGGTTAAGAACTCGTCAATAACTGTCAGACGAAAGTCTTTGACATCCTACAAACACAGTATGAAGAGATCCCTTTTGAAGTATTTAGTAAAAAGGAATAAAATTCTAGGAAATCATAGTATCTGTGAACCCACAGTATAACCTGACTTTCCAAGCAAAGACTGCTTGTTAAAAAGTAATCTAAAGCAGTTTTAAAATATTCAGTTTTCCTTTACCTGTTTTAAAATAAAAAAAGATGGCCACAAGCATCCTGTTTTTAAACACCACTTTTACTTGGAACAGTAGTTTGCTTTTCAGTTATGGGACTGAGTTTTTGGTACATATTAACAAGCAGAACTTGTACATTCAACAGTATACCTGGGAGTATCCAAAGGTAAAGGACTACAGAAAGACCAGGTGCCAAAGCAACGGAGGATAAATCCTGCATCAAGTCAGGAGTAGAATTAAAAAAAGAAACAAACCTGTGCTACTGATCCTACTGATCCTGTACTTTTAAACTACACAGTCCTACCTCTAGCACTGAAACTGGGAATATTTTCTAAGCACCTTCAAGACTCAGAAACTCATGCTGTATTTTCAGAAATGGGGGTGAACAGAAAGCACATTCATTTGAAAGCAAGTTTGAAGTATAGCTGGACTAGGAATCTGGAATACAATAGTTGATCATGAATAAAATCCATACTCTGACAATCTCATTTTCCTTAACCTTTAAAGGACACAAGCAGTATTTCCAAATGTAATAGTCAATATGTGTACTGTTCCTAAATAACATCTCCCTCTACAGAAATACGTATGTGCTCAGATTAGCTCTGAACAATGATTAAGATTTCTAAAAATTGCACATTGCTTTACTTCATACTGACTAATGCATTATGCTCATACAAACCTATAAATATCTGCTGATATACTGTAACCTTAACTATACCATCATTTGAAAATAGCGAAGTTTGTGTTGAAGCATGTCTTACCCGTTGAGTCTTCCAAGTCAATCAGTTTGGGCATTAAACTTTCAGGTAACTTTTCTGGCAAATCATACCCATTCTTCCTAGCGACTACCAGATGAAATGCAGCACAGAACTCATCCAGTGTCAGTGCACCATCTTTATCAAAATCTGACAGTTCCCTAAAAATGAAAACTTAGTATAAATAAAAGAACCTTAGAAATTTTATTTCCAAAAGACATACTTCTGTTGTGCTACTTGGAAGATCAGAGAATGCACTTTATAGTTCATTTTACCCTATTAAACACTTCATATTAGCGCCACGTGCTTTATTCTTCAAAGAAGATGAGCCTTCATTAATAACATTTCTTAGAGCTTAAAGATCATTTAAACCCACTTTTATCTCGCCAGGTTTTTAACTCATTTAAGACAGTACTACACAACATTATTGGCCTCAGATTTGTGGCAAAGTATACTAAAGAAACGATAGTGCTGAGGCAATGTGATTTATTTTAAATGGGAAAATACCTGAATTAGAAATCATTACAGTGCAAGAAAGATCAAATCTGCCAAGCTAAGCTGTTTAATGGCATACAATGAGGCAGTATGAATTCTAGAATACAATGAAATACAAGCTTTGCACCAAGTCAAAGCTTAATTTGTCATCAAGTCCCACTAAGTACATTTAAAAATATTTGGCTCTGTACATTTCATTTAAACTTAGACTTGAATAAACAAACATAGATAAGGAATTAATTATTTAAATGTAAATGCATCTTTTACAACAAAAACCGCAAATAAATTACCTCTTACTCTGAAGTGTTTGAAATTTCTTCAAAAGCTCAAAATGCCTTGTAAATAGTGCCAGCCTAGACCCATTAAAGCCCACTAAAATAATATTGGCATAAATGTAAGCAGGACTGAATATACTAGAGTACTAGTGAAATTTCACTTAACACCTTTTAGTAAGTAGATTATTACATGACTGCCAGATAGCTGTCATCTTTCTAAATAATTATCCTGAATAAAGACACATCACACTTACCAAATATGAGAAAGTTCAAGAATAGGTAGTTTTGACTTAGTGAAAAATTCTTTAGCTGCAGATCCTGAAAAATTACAACAACCATTTTTAATATTTAAAGCAAGTTAAATCATTAGAAGACTCAAGAGTTATGGTAAAGGAGATGAGCTATTTAGCAAAGATTTTGGGAAAAATGGCACTAAGTACTAGGGTTAAACGAAGGAAACAGGCAAATCAGTTTCAAGTCCTTTCTTGAATTACACTGGACTTTACTAGAACATTATCAATAAAATGCAGAACTTTCTTCAAGGTGGTATGCAAACCTAAATAAACAACAAAGTCTTTGTAACAGAACTGCTGCATCCACAATTATACTTTTTAAAGAGTAACTTACCTGGTATAAATCCATTTAGATCAGGTTGAATGGTTTTAAACTGATTAACATAATACTGCCTTTGTTCATCAGTTATTTTCCATGGGTCATCATAACTACTTGATTGCCTACGAATTTCATTTGTTGTTGTAGCTGATGCTACAGTTCGTACTGTTGTCTGGTCCTGAAATGAAATATTTTTCCTCAGTATTATCTACCTAAAATGCTTCTATGAATTCTCAACTTCTTGCCTTCAAAAAATAAAGCATAGTTAAATCTCGCAGTAGTTTAAAGACTGCAGGAAACTATCAGCAGATTGCATCTATAGGATAATGACGGTATTTTTGCACACTGATACATATGGATAGGAATGGCTGCAGGTATGTAAGCAGAAAAAAAATATTGCACATATGCAAAAAAGCTAAACACAAGTTTTAAAGTCATAATTGTTGACATTTTTTAAATTAGTAACTTTCAGTTAATCATTCCAAATGAAGTCAACTCAATGAAACAAGTATCTGTTGGATAAATAGCACTGAACAGACTACAGCACATATACACAGTAAACATCTGCAATGAAAATTATATAAAGAAAAAGAAAAGAAAAAAAACTGAAATGATTGCAACATCAATCTGAATGAAGCAAATCAAACACCAATAAAGTGTCACACCTGGACAGAAGCAGGATGCATGGCTAAAAGAGCACTGGTTGGTGGGGTATCTGCAAAACTGACCCAGTTTTCTTGATGGGGTGGTGGTGAATGGCCAGACCATATAGGATCACTAGAAGTAGATGAGCCTGAAAGTAGAAGAAACATTTCCTTTTCAAAAGACAACCTTGAAAACTGAGTAAGAAGTATGGATATGGAAAGCAGTCAAAAAAAAAAAAAACCAACCCTGAAACACATGCTCCTGTCAGGTAGATAGACACTTGTAGAATGCTGAAGAAAACGAAAACCAAATTGCACCAAGGTGACCAAGTTCACCTCCTGACAACTCACTCCTGTAGATTTTTACATTACGTCAGTTTAAATCTGTCCTAAAAAGACAGAAGTGAGGAATGAGCTTATTGCAATGTGTAAAATGTAAATTGGGTTTTACCCATTTAGTGGCTTTTGAATGAGTTAATAGTCCACATTTTCACATAATTGAAATGAGCAACACTTGCATCAACAAATAGCTATTTGAAAGTGGCATATGATATTAGCATGCAACTTTATCATCATTATTATTAGATTTTTTTCTTTTTTTAGGTTTTAGTTTGCCATTCAAAGAGCAAAGTCTTGGAAATTCCTCTTAAGAATCAGGCTTTTTGGCATAGATAATTTTTTTTCCCTGAATTATTTCTAGACTAACTTAACTCAGTTGCTTAGAAACAGTCCAAGAATAATAAAAGGCATCCATATACAGTGCTGACATCTGCTATGTATTAACTATCTGGAACATAATAATTGAGATTCACCCAGTGCCTTGCTATAATCTACTTCTGAAGTACTGCCGATGTTCAATGTCTTAATATTAAAATAACGATGAAGCAACTATAGAAAGATTTGGCCACCCACTGCTCTATGTACAAACCCCTTGAAATTCTCTTAAATTGCAGTTGCAAATTAGAAATTTAAGGAACTCTGATCAGAGGGAAAACAAACCATCTAAAACAAGTCTAGAAGAATCCCAGGAATCCATTCTAACTCCTCGACTCCTAAAAGAAATGAATTCCTTAAATCTAAACAGTAGTTGTGAAACTGATTACTCTAATCACTCTTCTTGCACAACTAAATGCTTTCTCTTGAAATATGTTAGAGTCATACTTAGAAAGGAATTTCTGCCTCATATGTAGAAGCAGATTTCCTTTTAAAAGACAGGTCAATGTCTTTTGAGTTTCTGCACGCCCTCTACACCTCCTGACATGGCCTGGAGCTTCTAGTGACTTCATCCAAAATTGCTGAGAATAAAGACAATGAGTTTGACAATGCTTTTTGCCTTGGGGTTCCTTTTCAGTAGCTGGCCTAACTCTAAAACACTAGAAGGAAACTAGAAGGAAACTAGTGCAGAAAAACAGACAGTAAGATTCAGACAAGTCCTTCCCATCTCTCCTATGGATATGTTACACTCAAATTTTACTTCTGATACAATGGCTCTCCCCTTCTCTGCCCCTCAGACACTGACATTATTACCACTAACCTTATATATGTTTACTCTGCTTTTACTTCTCCCAACAGCTTGTCTGAGTACAGTTCGATTTGTACCCCACTTAGCACAGCACCTCTTCCAAAGCAGTACTTTGACAGCGATGGAGATGCCAGTAGCACCAAATTGTCGTACCTTCCCAGTACTTGACAAGTATCACAAGAACAATTTCCTTTCTCCCCTGTTCACATCATCCCAACAAAAATACTCTTTCTTGCTTTATTGTTCCTGTTATTCACTCTGCAATGCAATGTTTTAGGACACAGGACAGGAAGGCTAGAGAACGCTGGAGAAAGATTAGATTACTAGTAACTGTGAACCCCTGGATGTACACACATACTCATGGACTGCCACCAGCCAATAACTCAATTCTCAATCATTAAAACTACATCTGTTTGACATTTGAATTAGAGATAGTCACCCCTCACTTTCTTCTCAAACTACAAAATCAGACTGGGAGCACTGAGGTAGAAGGGAAAGTGGAAGAAAACTGGTTCACAGAGAAGACTCAGAACAATGATTTTTTTTTTTTTTTATGATTTGTATCCCAATGAAGAAACAACCTTCAAGGGTCTCTGTACGTTTTCCATCAGTGAGAGCACCATTAATAGCACTTTGAATGGAGAGCAGGCCTAAGACGAATTATCAGATTTGAACTAGCTGGTGAGGTCTAATGCACTATGTTTAGTATGAAGACCTAACTTGAATTCCTGTGGCTGCTCTATATCCTTCTCCTCTAGCTTGAATACCTTACCAACACATTGATAACTTGTGGAAAATAATCTTATTTCCCGTGGGAGAAAAGTTAGCCCCTCACTTTAAGCTACAAATGGAAGTGTACGAAATGGTCTACCTAGATAACATCTGAGTAGCTTGTGTCCAACTAGTTTGAAATCATTATTTGGATACTACCAACATAAGCATTCTGTAGTCCAGACAGACTACAAGGTTATAAAAAATAGTTTCTAGCCCCTATTCTGACATGTCACTCAACTATCATTTGAAGTGGGGAAGGGGTTCTTTCTCCCAAGTTTGCCACAGTCAGAATCCTTCTAGCAGCTGAAGTTGTAGTACAAAATGAGCTGAAAAGGTAAAATTACAAAGTTGGTTTTTTTCCTGTGTTGTAACTACAGGAATAGGAGGCTCTCATCTCATATACAATTGTTTCCTACAAAGGGTTCAGTCATCCACTGTATTGTTCGATGAATACTGATCTAGAAGAAATGTTAAAAGAGATCAGAGATGCAAGCCAGAACTGAGACATAACAACATGATTTTAACAGCTTTATCTTAAACTGTTAAATCAAAGACACCTGAAAGACTTGAGAGACTGAGTTTTTAATAGAATTGACTCAAACATGAAGGATGAGACTTGAACTAACTATAAACTTCGGTTTACACATGTGATCAACATCTGTCATCAAACTTTTAATTCCTGATATTAAAGTAAAATACATGCACCCTTTGGGGCTCTCTTTACAAAAAGCCTTGAAGAAATATGGTAACAAGCCTTGGCTTCTGATTTGAGGTCACTTATGTGTAAGCACACTGAGCTAGTCATGACAGTGCTTCAGAGTCCAGCTACTTATGAAGCATCACTAACACTATCCTAACTGAGTTACTGGACAATGCTGTGGCAAAAAATTTTAAATATCCGAATTCTTTTGCTCTGCTGAGATGAGAACAGGTTTTCTTCCTCAAGAAATTGAGAACTACAGCTATAAGTTATGCTTAAGACTTCTGATACAAGACAACGTGTATGATTTTTAAAAACAAGAGTTGAGTCATTCTCTAATAATTGCTGTACAGCCCAATTCAATACAGAAAGCACAATTTAATTTTGTTCATGGTGAGAGTACGATGATGCACTGGAGTGTCTTTTCTATGCATAAGTCAGAATTTTCCTGTTTAAACACATCTTTCTCCAAACAAAGAAAAAGTACTTGATTTTTGTCCTTCTGGTTTAAGGCAACATGCTGTTTATTATTAGATCCATCAGAAACATTTTCACACTTGAGATTCCATGCTTTCAGTTGACAACCCCATTACCCTCAAACAATATTTCACATAATGTGAAATGCAAGCAGAGAGACCTGGGTTCTTATTTTTCTTGGATCACAAGTGAAATGGCATAGCCCTGCCCTAAATCCTACTGAAACAATACCATGTTCTTGCAAATTACCTGATTTCAAGCACATCTTGCATTGGAATCAAGATGAGCTTGCAGCGCTGATTTTAAGTAACCAACAGTCTATCTGGTTCTACCTAAATGTCAGCAGAACATCATTTTTCTACAAAATACTGTCCTTAAAAAGTAGGCTCAAGAGAGGGAAAAAGAATGATGAACTGTAAAACAGCTGAAATTCAAAGGAATAATCAATCATCTGCAGTGCAAAAGAATCACCCACAGTGAATCAGGATGACAATTTTTGTTAAACTATGAAAATCCACTCTACCCTTAGCATTGGCAGAACAGACAATCCTTCTATAACAGTATCTTCAAATTACTTTAAACACACTATGAATGTGTTTCAGTATGGAATATAAAATTGACCAATATTGAGCTAGTTCAGAAATATTTTCAAACTACTACTGAAAAATTTATCCATTAGACATCACAGGGAAAGCATGGCTAAAACAGAAATATTAACATGGTATTGCAACTTTATTTTTAAGAGGACAATATTAAACTCTTCAACAGTAGAAACAGTTTGCACACTTTCCTGGAGTCTTTGACTTCATAAGTTAGAAAAACTTCACAAGTTAAAAATCAGCTACCAGACAAACTTATATTTCAGCTTACAAGAAAAGCAAATCAACTGAACTATGCAAGAAAAAAGTCAAGAAATTGACTTGCTGAAAAATCACAATGCCTGGACTGAACCCTTAGAGGTGATTATATATGCAACAAGCAGACTAATATTCTTTATTTTTTTTATTCTAAATTGACTGGCACTTACTAGCAAATAACACTCAGGACAATGGCATAAACCTCTGCATACAACCCATTTCACTTCTAAAAGAAGTTATTTCCTTATGCAACCAATTCTAACAACAAAATCCCTGGTCCTCCTTAGATGCTTATAACTACAGAATGACGATAAATCAAAAGGTAACAGATCAATTTTGGAATATCACAACTGAAATCAACCAACCAACCACAGTTCAGTCTGAAACTACAGCCTACAATATACAACATGTTATTCAGCAGCAGCAGCATCAAAAACAGAACCTGAATTAGAATTGCTCTGCTGTTCCCAAATTTATTAAGTCTATCAGATATCAGAAAAGAAAACAGAACTTTTTGAAATATGAGATATTGAGGGGGAAGACTTTTTTAAATCTGAGCACAGAGATACAACAACAGGGAGGGTCTTCATGCTAAATGAAGAACATTAAAGAATGAAAAGCTGTACTGAAGCAAGTAGTTCTACCTTGACAGACTGGAGATACAGTAGCTTCAGTTATGTTTACATAAACTTTAAAGAAAGCAAAAAAAAATGCTGAGAGAATTAAGTTGTTCTGACAATTCATCTAATCTACCAGAAACATAATTCAAACAACCAATACATTTGCTGCTTTCCCTTGAGCTCCCCACGTTTTTGGGTATACTGACAGCTCCTGCACAATTCAGTAGGATGTCAGTTTTGTATTAAAAAACTTTCCACTGGGAAACTTTCATACTCTCTTTCCCCCCCTCCAAACTCTAAGCATTTCCCATACCACACTAAGAAATGGATCCGCCATATGCAAGACCACAGATTCCACAGTGCTGCCGTACACATGAACATTCGAATCTGCAAGAAGGTTTCCAGGATTGGAAAATACAAAGATAAACTGCCCTAAACTCATTTAATATACTTATTTAAGAATTCCACAACTTTGGGTTACAGCTGAAGCATAACAGAAGACATTTATACCTGGTTGTGCTTCACTAAATGGAGCCCAAAAAGGCCCAGGTCCAGCAAGAGGTCGTTCATTATTCCCTCCGCTGGGATGGCGGTTGTGCTTCCTCCATGTATGTGGAGAGGCTTTCCCTCCCTCCAAACTCTAAGCATTTCCCATACCACACTAAGAAATGGATCCGCCATATGCAAGACCACAGATTCCACAGTGCTGCCGTACACATGAACATTCGAATCTGCAAGAAGGTTTCCAGGATTGGAAAATACAAAGATAAACTGCCCTAAACTCATTTAATATACTTATTTAAGAATTCCACAACTTTGGGTTACAGCTGAAGCATAACAGAAGACATTTATACCTGGTTGTGCTTCACTAAATGGAGCCCAAAAAGGCCCAGGTCCAGCAAGAGGTCGTTCATTATTCCCTCCGCTGGGATGGCGGTTGTGCTTCCTCCATGTATGTGGAGAGGTTGGTGGGGATTGCTGTGGTGAAACAACTGGAGATGTGGACTCCTAATAAAACAAAGGAACCTTTTAAGTTTTTTTTACTAAAGAACTAAATACATAAAAACCTATCTAAAACCATTATTTCTAGGAACAACCATCACTGTAGTTAAAGTCTCATTTTAGAGAGTGAAAATTTTAGTACTTATTAAAATGAGGGAACAGGAGAAGTCAAGTACAGTATGACTGGCACTGGACACATTCACTTCAAAACATCATCTAATAGATTTTTAACTTGGCATTCTTAAGACAACAGCAATGCCAAGTTAAATGACTTAGCTACAAAGGAAACTAGATTATAAGACTCACTTTCACTTGTGATAAAAGTTACATTTGAACCCAGGTCTCAAAAGAAAATATTACTTACTGTACAACTTATTATCATAAGTAATTTTCATCAAGTGATTCACAATCAGTTACTTTGATTTAAAAACCAAACCAGAATTAAACACTGAATAAAAAAAAAAAAATCACTAGACAGGCCACATTATTTTTGTTTAATACACAAAAACACAGATGTAACTTTTTCAAAGAATGATGCCGTGACATCATCTCTGCTGTACAAATTACAAGGTAGTTTTGCCCTGATGTTAAGGCTCAAGCTTCTCTTTAATCCCACATTGTACTATATCCTCCCTGAAGAGGTAGGAAAACAGGGAACCACGTGCAATTTCTACCTGGAATCAGTTCTCATGAGACATTCAGATTAGCAGATTATTCAATTTCAAATAAAATATAAAGGAAAAATCATTTATATTGTACAAAGTATTTATGTAGTAGAAAATAAGTTCCTCCCTATATCTAGATCTTTTGAAATTCCTGTTTGCCAGATCTCCCAATTTGAATTGAACTGTATTAGTGAAAACTGGTACAACAAGAAAGCAAAGCTTGAACTCAGAGTTTCCTGAACAGTAAAAACAGCTAAAGATCTCAAAATCTGTTTCAGCAGTAGGCAAAAAAAAAAAAAAAAAGTGTGATACTGTATGTTAACAACTCTTAATGTACTATCAAGTACCAACAGCCAGACTGACTGTAGGCTTCCACATGATTCCCAAAACTGAACTGGCTTACTTTGCCAAATATTCAAAGGTCATTATGCTTTTTAATCAATATTACATCTGCAAAAGTCTAAAAGTCAATGAGAAAGTGCCATAAACAAGCTTTTCTCCATGCAAGGTACATACTAAAACTACATGCATTCTAACAAAAAAGTTTTAGGGCCACGATGACTGGTTACTTTCTAATGTGTTGATGTAAGCTTTCATTTTTCTCCCCCCTCTGATTTTCATATTTCCTGTGATACAGGGCCAGCCTGGTTGATTCTGCAACTGAGGTATTTTCTGAAAGTTCCGACCATTGAGTCAGATTTCTTTAAGTAAGTTCCTAGGCAACAAGATTTTGAACTTTCCATTCAAAGCATTTAAACGATGCCCATATGTATTGGCAAAGAGTATTACGAAGTCGCTGGGAGCAGTACTAATTTCCTTCAACTTTTAATAAAGGGACCAGCTGATTGCACAGTCAAACTCACTGTTCTTCCACAGTACTCCACTAGTTCAAGATTTTTTGTTGCAGTTCCATGGGGATTTATTTTTAGATGCCAGTATATTCTTATCCTTACAGGTACCTGGGGGCAAGAGGGGAAGGAGTGAGGGTATCCAGAGTGCCACTTGCAGGCTGGAAGCTGGACCCAAGGTTGAATGGTTAGCCCGCTTAGCATAGTGCAACAGGTGCTAGGAGAACCACGATGATGCATCACTGAAATCAATGAAAAGCTTCCTGTTCCCTTGGCTTTTATACAAGCCATCTTTTATCAAACAAGATTTGAAGGATGTTTGAAATTTTAGACAAAATACTATGAGCAAACCTAGGGAAAGCTATGCTTGGTCACAGCCACTATTCGTTTACACCAGTATTCTTACTCTGGTAAGTCAGATGGTCCAGAAAGACACAGAAGAAAACCTAAGGCAGACAAACATGTGGTAGTCTACCTAAACGAAAGCGCTCACTACTTCTAATAACTGCATGTGAACATTGAAACCCTTGATGCATAGTCCTCATGAAGCAGCTTTGCCCTAATGAAGCTGACAAGCATCACTGTTCAGTAAGCCTCCATCTAACATTCGGCCTTATGCTCAAGGCAGAGGAGAAAACTGTAAATATGATCCTCAACTTCAATTCTTCTAAATGTTTACATGTGATTCATGTTATTCTGTAAAGCATGTAATAATGGTAATCAGATCATCAGAAGTACAAGCATAATAAATAATTAACTTTGTTTGCAATGTTCTAGTCAATGTTATATCAGAATTCTGAACATTTACAGATTTCTCACAATTGATTTGGAGCTTCAGCTTACAGACTCCAGAATTATTAAAACAGCAAAAGCACATCACCAAGTCTGACGTCAAAAAGCTTCTGGAAGAGGGACGAGCCACATCTTCAGCTTTACCGTCATTACGAGACACAGAGTCCCAAAACAGCTTAAACCAAATTTAGATGGCATTACTGTGGCACCATCTTTCCCCTGTGCAATCCCAGTCACTCTCATATACCACTCATGGTATTCATTGATCCAGCTTACTAGAAGCTTAGGAGAGCTAAACTCCTTAATTATTTTTTTTAAATATGTATGTGTGTGCATATATGTATTTATATATGCACACAAAAATATATATATGTGTGTGTGCCTATATATATATAAATAAAATGGCTCAGCCAAAATACTAATGGCTCAATGCAAGTGTAAAGGAGGAAGATGCAAGACAGAAAAGACTGGGGAGGAAGCAGGACTGTAGAAACTGACTCATTCAAAAGCAGTCATGGGAAAACACAATGAGTTAGGATTTATTGAAACTGTAATTACGTACAGGCTCATTCACCCCTTATATATAGGTTAACATCAACTGTCTGCCTTTGCAGTGGGTCAGAAGTTGTCATTTTCATATACTCATGCCTAGAAAACACGGTTTATTGTACAAAGTTTCCACTTCAACTTTACACTGAGCTTCACATTTTAGTAAACAGAGGCAATACATTCACTAGAATCACCTCTGTTCCTCAACTGCAAGATACACTCAGTTTATGAGTGTATGTTGCAGCTGAGGAGGTAGGACTGTTCACTTTCATCTGTCTGATCTATTAATAAAAGAAACTAATTTTGAAAGCCTGAAAGATCCAGGCTCAGATATTTCTGAGAGTATTAGGGTACAGAAGCTAACTTAATTGCTCTTCAAAATCCTAATATGTAACAACTACAACAGTCTGCCTAATTTGGGTTACTGATAACTCAGCAATTTTGAATTTCACCAGTTTTAAGAGAAGTTACCCACCTAATCTCTTTGGGAACTTTGACAATTTTACTCACAATCTGCATACTGTAGTTGATGTATCATTTATTAGATCAGCTGCTATTAAAATCTTATTTTGATAAACTGTTTTAGCACTTTAAATGCAATGATATTTAAACATTTAAAACACTAGCTTTTAATTTCTCTCAAACCTCAATAAAAATCACAGCAATTACAACATTCTGGCTTTTATTATCTTAAGACATTTATTCTTCCTCTTTAAATTATTCCAGAAAACAGATCTAAATAAAAGCATGTTGACATAAATAGTTAATAACTATTTAACATTTTCATGTTAAATCCAACTGCTGAGAACATTCTTCTAAATAACCAATCAAAAAAATAAGGTTACAGCTAACAGGCAAAAATTAAGTAATACCTCTTAGTTTAAAAAAAAATCACATTTAAAAAGTTGTAAAAAAGCATTATTTTTGTCAAACTAGAATTGCAAAATGCAGACACTATGAAGGACTCAGAACTTGGACATTTTTGGACTGACAAAGCAGTTACTAAAAATAGCATGTTAATTTAAAAAGGTGGTATAATATATAGCTCTAAAAGAAGAACCTTAGTGAAGATAAAAATCAAACAAACTGGCGTAAGGCAACACAATACTGCGCTTAGGCAACTCTGGAGGGATTTTAACCTCAAAAGGGCATTGCAAGCATACATGAGTCAAATGAGATTATAAACCTTTTCCTGGATCTCACACCTCAGGCCAGAAGAAAGCCTCCTAAGGAGAATTCCAGAGACAATGAAGCCAGACATGGTATCCGAAGGGTAGCTTTAAGGGTGTTGTGATCCAGGTCCTGACACCACACAGCCTGCATAAGAGTCAGGGAACAGATCCATCATGAAGAAAGATTATGCTGGAGATGGTAATTGCATTGCAGAACCCATGTTTTTGTAATCAACTAGCATTCATACTGAGAACAAAATAGTCCAAGGTTCAATGTGAACTTCTCCACATGCAGCGCTACACATTTTTAGAGAGGGCAGGTGTGGTTCAGCCAATTACAAACTTGTTAGTCTGACCTCAACAGTTTGAAAAGTTTTACACTAGATTTTGAAGAAAATCATAATTAAAAACACAAAGACAAATGGAAAAGGGGTCAATCACAGCATGGGAAATTTTACTTAAGTTGGCTGATACTATTTTTGTGATTTTCTAGACAAAGGAACTGCACTACATTTAACCTGAACCTCAGCATATTTCAGTGAGATGCCACACAAGACAATTCCAACAATGTGGAGATTAATACAAGAATCTAAGGTGCAAAAGAACCGGCTACAGAAGGAGCAAAGCTGGACTGTATTAGAATGGGAACTATGAGATTGAAGGGAAGTTTCTAGTAACACTCCTGAATGACTGATTTGGGGAATGACCTAATTTGATACTTCAGGTAACTGTTTATGCACACGAAACAGCATGCTGATGAATTCTGACAACAAATGTAAGGAGGTATCAGATGGATGGATTCGTTTCAGGACACAGGTAACAGTAAACTATCAAGTTTTAAAATATAAAATACAGTTTCCTGCATAGTAGAAATTAATACCAAAGTGCATAATGAGAATTGATCAGCTGAAAACAAAAAACTAGATGCATAGGTCAACTATCAGACCACTACAGTGTCAAATATGACAGATTTGCTTTATTCACAGCTGCTAAGGTATATGAGGTGAGATATATCAAGCAGAAGTAGGGAAGTATCCTACAAAACAATATGAATACTGGTGAGATCTCATTTGGAACAAGAAATACAAATCTAATAAAATATTTTCAATAAGAAAAAATTCCAACTGGATCAAAGGCAGAGAAGGGTTATGAGGATTACTGGAAACTACTTTACGAGACAAAACTGAGACTATGGATTGTTTTGTCAAGCAAAACAAAGCTAAGGGGAATACGATGGTTTTCCAGTAAGTACTGGTGGTGGTCTGCAGAAAATACTAAGGACAAAGCTGTTAAAAGAACAGGTATTATGTGATCTGAGTAAATTTAAGTGGGAGTTCCCACCATATTCCCACAAATATTCCTCTATATTCCTACTGAGGCTCTGGAATAGTTTTCCTCAACGTGGCCAGTGTGGATAAAAGGTTGTGATTTCAAGGGAGAACCCTGATTATTTTTTTAAAACTCATTAGATAATACAATTTCTCATGGTAATAGAGGGTTAGATTCAATGACACAAGGTCTTTTCCAGCTCTGTGCTCCTAAACAATTTATTTAATACTAGATGTATTTTACATGGAATTACCTGTTCAATCTACAAAACACAAGTGAACAGAAATGGACTACTGGCAAAACCTTAAAAGAAAGTCACACAACTTCTCACGTAGTTAAAAAAAAGTTGAAATGATCAAATTTTGACTGCTACAGGTACCAAATTTGAGCTGTCCCCTCCTAAGGTTACACTGATATGGCAATATATCAATATAACCTAGAGTGCCAGTATTACGCTTAATGCACACATAGGTAGATGAGTACCTTTTATTTTCACCTGATATAGGAAGGTTCAACCTACGAGCATTTGCCACATACATGTTTTTCTGCTGTCAGAGCCTCAACATCTATTGAAACTAGCTATCCCCCTTCCCTGGAAAAGGTGGCAAGCCAGGTGAAAGTATCTAAAGCAGTACTGATCAACACCTGGATCACACTTAAAGACACTGGAAAAAGTATTTGCTTTTTGGCTTTAACAACAAAACACAAAACATCCAAAGGCACTATCTAACAGACTGATATTGAGAACATTTAGTCACTTGTAAGCTACTTTCAGAAGATAGAAAATACTTCCTAATTTCAACGTTGCTGCTTCTTCTGAGAAACTGCTTTCAGTACATTTGTCTTATTCCTCAAAAAAAAAGCCAAAAAAGCTTCCATCTACAATGACAGCTCCTAATTCTACTAGGAGGATTTCTTTTAAAAAAAGCACAAGAACTCAACAGAATCTAAATCCTCAAGATTGGCCTAAATTAACATTTTTAGTAGCATAGCTGCTGCTACCAAGGCATAGAGATATGTATGTACACTGTGGTTAACATACCTATGTCAACAAAAGGGATTGTTTATACGTCACATTGTCAGCAGAAGCATTGCAATCTACTTAAGCCTCTATTATTTAGGAAGAAGAAATTATGCCAGCAGAGAAAAAATATTTCCCCAATGTTTTATCTCCACCAGGATGTGCAGTCAACATGCCACTTAGTGTGGAAAGGCATCTTTTACCATTTGGCTTGACTCCTAGAATCAGTTCTGCAGCTTCCATGACAGCTCAGCATGACTTCAGTCACCTTCTATTAGCACTAACAATATTAAAAAGACACAAACTTCTGACCAGTGCTATATTTACATAATATTTAGCCATTATAAACTAAAAATGCCACCACAAAAATGGCTTGAGATAGAAAAAGGATGTTACTGAAGTTAGCTCACGCTTACTTTAAAAGATGAACTCATTTATAGCTAACTCTTTGGAAACACCACCTGATTGCCATTTCCTGACACCCTGTCTCCGAGTGAAGCTCACTGAGGGGAACTGCCAAAATACTGCATTGATAAAGAAATAGTTTTAGCTAGGCATTTCAGTAGGCAATACTCAAATTCTTTTACATAAATTGTCTGTAATTATAAGATATTAACCTATGCATGACAAATCTCACCAATATGGAAAGCTGCACATGAATGAACCCAGTTTACAAAGATGAAGATTAAGATATCTTATGATTTCACACAAATAGTATTTCAGCCAGAGTATTTTATGAAATCAATGTATTTTGAAGTGCCAGGCATATTACCAAAGCCAGTAAACAGTCTAAGAGAAAAAAAAAAATCAAAACCCAAACTCACTAATGAAGTATCTAACAGCTACATGACAAGCTCTAGGAGTGAAATATCCAAGCGTGACTTTGACACTTAAATTCCTCCAGAAAGAACAGATCCCTAGGAAAATTACATGCTGGAATTTACTTCTCAGACTTCAGCTCCTCTCATCCTCATCCCTGAAAGAGGTGGCATACAATGAAGATTCACAATCTTAACCTCTTTCTAGATTTTATAAATCTGAGTGGTATCTCCAGGTAAAGACAATTGTATCAGCAATTTCTACAAAATCATGGCTAAAAACTGTATCCTTCTTTTGGAAAATAACCCAGTTAGAGTATTTATGTGGTTAAGCAAGAAACCTGGGTTCAAGCCCCTTTCTCAGCCTAAGGGGATTCAAATTCTCAGCTTGTTTCTAATGTGGTGTCCGAATCAATAAATATTAGACTAGGAGAAGCAGGCTACTTGAATGGATTCATTGTACAGTCAGAAATGTAGAATTAGCCACAGAAAATGCAGTTTTACAATAGGGTACAAAATCAGACAATACTTCCCTGATGTTCTCAGCCATGAATACAGTTTAAAACTGCTGGACTCAATGCTGTGTTGTCTGTTACATTTGCTCCAAGTCTGTTTTCTGGGCCAGACCTCTCAAAGGACTTATACACAGAGTTTCTTTATTCTGATGATCCCATAAAGTCTTGTGTGAAAGAGATACCAAGCTGCTTCTATCAGCCAAGATGGAAAAACAAAATTTGGATGCTTATACACCTTTGTGAATATGTGGCTGCTTTATCCAGAACTTCAAGACCTCAAACACCAGTTTTTTGTTATTTTGAAGTTACACCAGTACAGATTCCTTTATCAAGTTACAGCTGTTCACTAAATAAACTCAACACCATGATGGAAACATACAGAACACTATTTCAACCAAACAAACATCATCATCAGATCAAGGAGATCTGTGATTATTGATTTCTTCTTGAAGTGCTTGGGAGCTCTCTCAGACATACCTAACCAAAACTAGACAATGACAAGCTGCCTTCAGATCTACTGCCAGGCCTCCTTTCATCCCAGTCCCCATCCCCAGTTTGGAAGAAAGGAAGTGGCAGACAACCACTGATTATGAATGGCCTCTGCTAATTTGCATTTTCTTTATATTGGATCAGTCTGCGTTATTCCCAGAGAGATTAATAAATGTTTATGAGTGATTCCTCGATTCCTGGAGAGATTAAGAGATTAAGGGATGTTTGCAAGTTCCCTGATGCTTTACAAAACAAGCCCAGAAAAGAGCATACCATGGGAAAGAAAACAGGTCATTCAACAGTTATGCACAGACACACATACACCCAGCAAAATTTAATATTTGCACTCAGTGTTCTTGCTTGTAGAAAAGACAACCAGCAAAGATTTCCCCACGGAAAGAGAGTGTAAAGACTATAAAAAACAAGGAATTATGAGGAGGCACAGAGTTGTAAGCCTTTACAGTTTTCATTTACTCAGATACCCTGTAGCTGAAGATGAAAGAACCAGTGAGCAAAACAAAATCAGTTTTCTCGTTGTTAGAACACAATAAAAAGCTATGTGAAAACTTCTGTCTTATTTCTGGTTCTCATTGTCTCTACTTAATGATTAAATAGCTGAATAATAAAACGTAAGGCAGAGAAAAGTAACCGTGAGACTTTAAAAAAATTTTTCTAAATAAGGTATTTCAGATTTAAAGGTACTGGAGCATGTTGAAGAACTAGAATTCCAGTCTTCCATGGCATCCAGTACCACTGTTCCAATAACTAGGAAGCCAATGTGAAGTATCTAATAAACAAGGTATTAACACCATAATGATTACAACTTGATATTTGCTACTGTATCTTACACCTCGATTTTCTTTTCTACCTCAATTCTTTGTCCATTACCACCAATATCTTAAACACAGATTATAAGACTTCATAAAAAAGTGTCTCTTACATGCAAGTATTTTAGAAGCATATGTCGTGGTCTTGTCTAATATATACCAGTATGATTTTTTTAATTAAAAAAAGAATCTATATCGAAAGCAAAGCAGCTCAGAAACCCTATCAAATTGACACCTATGCAGCAAAGTAGTGGTTAAAAGCCCCATTTAATCATTTAAGTTAATTTACCTGTTGATCAGTTGATGTACGTTGCTGAACTGCATCATGGCTCACAGAGCCTTTTTTGACTTGTATCCTACCAGGTGGAGGAGGAATCACACCTGAATATGAAGCTGGGTTATCAGCATCTGAAGAATACAAGGCTGCATGTCTTGATTCTTGTTCATTCTTTGACACAACAAATCTGGGAAGAGGGAGGTCCTTTACTGTTAAAAGAAGACAGCAGGCCATTTACTATACAGAAGTATGATGATTAAAAATAAAAACGCAGTCCTATTTTGTAGTTAAAATTTCACACGTGCCTCAATTACTTGAACACTGAGACTGCTGCTATAGTCAAGCCAACATCTGACTGTTGGAAAAAAGAAAATACCCTTTCTGCATTATACTTCATGATTCTACTACCTGAGTTCTGGTTTTGGTATACAAAGAGGACCTCACATAACTCCATAACAGTTTTTCACGACAACTCTGTATTAAATGCAGTAGCAATCAGATAATCTGGATTTAGCTCATTTTTTCTTAGTTTTGCCCACATTTAATTATTGAAGTGTGATTGTCAAAATTTATCCACCATTTCTAGCACATACATAAAATTAGAGTCTTCATACAGAATGGTTCATCAACAAAACAAATGCTAAAATACTGCAGTATATTCAACATCACCTTTTAGTGAGCTGATATTATGTTTATATTTACAACAGATAGCATAATCTAGTCATATTGCAGAAACTGCAACTATTGCTTAAACATATTTGTGTACACCTTTCTACAATAGAAGCTAAATTAGCTGTTTTACTGGGATACAACTGAGAGTATTCCAATATCACCTCACTTTTGTTACAAACACCTATAAAGCAAAGTCTCTACAAAATGCTAGGAGGTCCTTAGTTTTATGTACCATGGTTCACAGTAGTCTGATATAAAAATGAGGCTATGTAAGTCTTCAATTTTTCTCCGCAAGATTTCTACCATTTTTCTGAATCCCAATCACAACTTTCTTACTGGTCCACTGTGAATAAAAATAAACTGCAAATTTGCTGTACAGCTTACTTGGAATTATTATTCCAACACAAAACAAATTTACAAGCATGGCTCCAATTTAATTTCTCTTGTTGACTGCTTACATCGATTACTTCTGGTATTGGAAAGGAGTCAGTGGTACTAACAACTCTATTAAAATATGAGATGAAATTGCATACCGTTTATTACATAAAACATTTTTATGTTTATGTTTATTACATAAACATTAAACTGATTTGTATTTGAAGAGTGTCATTTGAATCCATAGTATTCAACAACTATAGACACCTTTATGTATCCATCCAGTATCAAAGAACAACGCTCCAGTAAGAACATAAATTCTTGATTTAAGCCTCTATTGCTAAGCACAACTCAATGTGCCAAACAGCTTTCATCACAGGGAAGGAGCACGCAACGCAGCCTCTTTGCTAAATTTGTGGTTACCCATCACGTGGAAACACTGCTAAAGCAGCTCCTGATGCCTTCCTCATTCCTACATGCCTATTTTCACATTAGCCTTGTACCCCATGTTGCGCTAGGAAAGTTATTCATGTAGCTAAACAGTGAACTACAGCCAGCCAAAAAGTGAAAGAGTCATTGCATACAAGTGAAAATTTGTATGCTTGCAAAACAGGGGATAAGACTGACACTAGAACATCCCACTGACACAGGGGAAGTCTATGCAATCAGTTGCTCCAACATGAGGCTTTGGCATGAGATATCCAGCACTATTTCACAAATAGAGAGGGCTCAAAAGAACACGAAATACTCTATTGTCTTCTTGAAAAACAAGACCAGATAGTTTGTTTTGCTGTACTAAGCTTCTACATAGCCAATTGAAATCTGCCATTTTTACCTCTCTCCTCTGTCTTTTCCCCATAACAGCAGAAGAAAAAAAAAAAAAATCATTTTACCACTACATTTGTTACCATTCAGAAATGCCTCAATTATAAATGCAATAGCTGTTATGAATGGAATGAAATCTTGATATTGAACAAATTAAAAAGTTCTCTGTACTTTTTATGCCCACATCCTTGTTAACATTTTCTTGCACCAAAAACTGTATTCCATACTTAGAAAATAAACATTACTTTGAAATAGACACTGCTCATTAAATTTCTCAATTTTTAGCTTCTTGGAAGGAAAATTTTCTGGGACAACAAAGGAACAACAGAGGCTTGTAGTATAATAACTAAAGCCAGTATTTTTACTACACTGCATATCTGAGTGATCAAGAAAGCACTTAGTTAACTAAGAACCAACTGGATGACACTTGCGTTGAATGGACCTAGTACGCAAAATTTGACTGTAGTCTCCACTCAGCAACTTACATAAAGCAAGCTTCCTGTCTACTTAAGAGACACACAGTGAACCAAAGAGCAAAAGAAACAAGAACAGAAGGGGAGAAAAATATCAAGACAAAAGAGTGAATAACATTAAGAAAATCATTGAATAAAACATGCATAGAATGCAGAGCTAAGAAGTAGATGTCCTAAAATATAAGCTTTAACTAATTTTACATGTTTTACTTCGAAGAGAGAAAGAGTATACGGTTTAGTTTGGGATGGCTCTAACAGTTCCTCTTCAAGACCTCTTGGAGGTGGACTGTGGGCAGAACCCAGCTGGCCAG